CACCACCACCACCACCACTACCAGCAGCAGCAGCAGCACTGTGGACACCACCACCTGCAGTTTGTCTTGAACGTGGTCTCGCTGGTGCCACCGCCTCCCTCTCCGTCTCTGACGCCTCAACACCGGTCAAGTTGTTCCTCCAGGCTACTACTACTTCCTCGCCTGTCGATTGTTGTCATTTGCTCTCAGCCGGACAAGCCACTCTCTGACACTGGAACTGGAACAGTGGAACCGCCGGAGTTCTACGCCTGTCGCGAACCACAACTTCAGTGGACCGATCGGGCCGCCATCAGGAACTTTGGGTAGATCTGGTGGGCCAAGTCCGTCATGCAGTCCGGTAAGTGCTACCTTTCCTACTGCTGACACCGCCACCTTTGCCTCGTTGGCGTTTGTTGCCGTTATCTGACACTTCTTTCACCGGTATTCGCAGGGTCACTCTAGCAATATTCCAAGCTCAAACGTAAACAACGTCGCTCACCCTATGTTGTGCGGTCCTCCTCCGCTACCCCAAAACGGCCCACCAATGACGATGGGACCTTATAACCCGGGGCCCAGTCCCATGCCGCATGTGATGCACCATCCACCTCATCCCATGCAGCATCCAGGTGCGTACATCGAATTGAGAGTTGACTAGGACCACCGTCATTACTGTTGTTGTTTACCTTCTCCTAGGCCCACCCCCTCCGCCTAATCACATGCAACCACCACCACCTCATGGGTAGGCGATCATTGATATATTTTCAAATTACCAAGTGACTAAATGATGCTTTCATTTACAGAAGGCACACACCATTCTATGAGATGCGTCAGCCGGAGTTTCGAATTTATGAAATGAACAAGCGGCTTTGGCAAAGGTCTGAGGTAATTTCAGTTTTCCGCTTCAATATCGTCACTTTGCTCATTGAATCTATTTAATGTTTTGAATAGGAGGCAGATAATTTATGGTGGGACGCTTTTGCAACAGAGTTCTTTGAAGATGATGCTACTCTGACGGTGACTTTCTATCTAGAAGATGGACCTAAACGATACAGTAAGTCACACTTTTGACTGACGGTAAAGGTGAATTGGCTTTATCAAAATGTTTTACCCTTTAGCAATCGGTCGTACTTTGATTCCGCGTTACTTTCGAAGCATCTTCGAAGGTGGTGTCACTGAACTGCAAATTAATCTCAAGCATTTTAAAGAAAGCTACCACAACACCACCATCACTCTTGATTGCGATCAAGCTTCCATTATAACTTATCATGGCAAACCAAGCTACAAGGTATGCGCTCTTATATAAATGCTAGCTCATCAATCATCAAAGAATACTAATATAAAACAATGATTTCGCCAACAGATGGGCCCTTATCCACACCCTCCCAATGATCCAATGAAAGAGCAAATGATGAAGGAAAATTCCGTTTTTGTCTGTACCGAAGGAAGACTGATTCTCGAGTTTGCATTTGACGACTTGATGCGTATTAAATCATGGCATTTTTCTACAAGACATCATCAAGAGCTCATTTCAAGAAGCCTGGTGGCCATGCAGCAAGCTCAACAAGATCCAAGCATGATGGAACAGTTGACAAAGAACATAACCAGACAAGGGCTGACTAATTCCACTTTGAACTATCTCAGAGTAAGTATTGTTTATGAAAAAAGATTGATGAGTGTGGGTTTAATTTATAACTAAACTCATTTTTTTTGCAGTTGTGTGTCATTCTTGAGCCAATGCAAGAGTTGATGAGCAGGTACAAAACATATCCACTCAGTCCACGCGATTGTCTAAAGACGACGCTATTCCAAAAATGGCAACGAATGGTGGCTCCACCGGAAACGTCTAGACCTCCAAGTAAAAGAAGAAAAAGAAAATCTTCAACAAATGCTGGTGCGACAACAGCCAGTAAAAAGAAGAATAATCAAAATAACATGAGTCCAGTTCCTCCTCCGTTTACTTTGGCCACTCAGGTAACTTTGGTTTTGACTTTCCCTGTGTATTGTTTTTAAAACATCCAACTTGTTTTCTTCATAGGATGTTATGGTTGTTGGTGAACCATCACTGATGGGTGGTGAATTCGGCGACGAAGATGAACGACTTATAACTAGATTAGGTAATACGATTGATTTCCCTTCTCAAAAACACTAATGATTAATTTCTCAGAAAACAATCAATATGATCCGAACGTAGCAACAGGAACTAATGGACTGGAAGACGCGGACGATTTCAATTCGCTGGGCTCTTCTACCAGTGGTGGCGGAAATAATGCAAACAATGGCGGCAACAGCTCCGCCGGAATAATGGGACCCGGAGCAAACGGTGGCCCGCCATCATGGCCGCAGAATGGCTCTGGCAGTAATAACAACAACAGTAATGTCAATGGCGCCAACTCCAATGGCGGAGCTCCACCGCCGCCGGGAGGCGCCAACGGGGGCGGACCAATGTCCGGACCAGCCGGAGGATCAAATGGACCAAATGGACCTAACTCTCAGGAAGAGTCGAAGAAGCAGTCCCCTCCAAACATGAGTCAGTAATCACTCATCTCATTCTTCTATAAATATTATACAATACACAACATATTAATCCCCTTTGTACTATTGTAACGGACTGATTCACCCGACATGTATCATCCTAAGCATACATTATACCTTTGTGTACCCAGTTATCTATATTTTTTGTGATATAAAAATTCACACCTGCATTTCTATTTCTTCGAGTCGAGTAATGATATTTATAATAATATACAATACAATAAATTGTGTACAGGACAACAAGAATTTAAAGCTGAAATTATTCGCCATTCTCGGCAATGTGAGAGTAGTAGTAGCAAAGGCCTTTTGTGGAAACATCGACAGACAGTTTTAAAGGGTCAACCTCGTGGACGAAATCATCATTGCACAAGAACCATTTAGGATGCTTATAAACGTATGACTTGTAGTGACCAGAAGTCGTTTTTGGACCATAGTGGCATATGATAGACGCCAGCTTAAACCGTTCGCAATGTGAAGATGTTGAAGCATCTCCACTGTTTGCTTTTTGATTGCCACTGACGAGATTTAGACAAAGGGATTTTGCCGGAGACGGTCCGTGGTTGTTTGGAGTATTTTCTTTTAACTCGTCACTAGTTTGTTGGCCGCTTGACTTTAGCTTCTTGTTTGCAATAGCTATCTGTCTCCGTGTTCTTTTGGGACTGTTTAAAGTATTAAAATAAATTAAAAAACTAAAAATAAAATGAAAACAAACTGATAATACCTAGGGTTGTCAATGGATGGAAAAGAAGAGGATATCACTTTCTTTGGTTCCTGAATGTAAAATCGCGGCAAATAAATGATACTATTGGCATGAATTTTTTCCAAATCTTTTTCAAACGACTCGTTATATCGGACTGGTTGAAAAATCAAAACTTTAGGCAGTTTTTCAAAAAACTTCTCGATTGTTTGAGTACCCTTGCATCTTGAGCATTTGTTTGGTGACTCTTCGTTACCGATTCGTTTTATGAAGGCAGATTGAAGGGAACGATCTGTCGTTAATTCAAGGTGAAACGTATTGGTACATTCAGATTCAAGTTTGGTAACTTTACCACAATGATTGCACTTTTCTTGGTTAACTAGCGAGTATTGAAAATTCTGATCAACCGGACTGGGCTTGTTGAATTTGTAAACGGGCTTTATGTTGTTTATTTCTTCTTCAATGAACTGCAATGCAAAAGACAAAAATTCTGCGGCGTCCTGTTGAGTATACTTTTCTTTGAACTTGGTTTGATAACGCTCATCGCATTTGCTGCCAAAATAAGTCTTGAAATCAATCAGATAATCATTCAACTCGTCGCTTTTCGTGCAGTTTTTATACGTGTCAAAAACTTTAATCAACCTTGATAAAATGGGGAACTCAGTTAAATCTTCTTTCTTGTTTGCCATAATGTGGCTCGAAAAGGATTCATAAAATTCTTTAAGTATATTCATAAAAGAGTTGAAAGAAAACAGCGTTTGAATTGCCGAGTTAACATAACAGCTGTTGCCAGCATTTCTGAGTCCACGTGGAATTTTTTCGTTTGAGTTTCGTCGGGTGAAATAGTGATCTGAAGAGGGTGATTCTTCACCGTAAAAAGTTTTTGTTGATAAGGCCATGATTGCGGTTGTCTAGCTAATGAAGTCGCAGGATTGAAAGGGTAATGGATTCAGGCATTGCTTGAAGCAAGCACCCATTTCTGCCGCAAAAAAAGCAGCTGTGACACTGGCCGCCAGTGTTGTTGTCTGCACTGCGTTTTGAGTTCCATAGAGAGCGTTACTTGGCTGGTTAAAAAATTGGCGCCATGCTGAAAAGCACTGTCGAGAGTAGAAATCTTTAAAGCGCATGACCTTTTCTACTTTATAAGCATTGCCGGAAGTGACACAGTGTAAAAACTGATGACAGAAAAATCATAGGCACTCGAAAGCACAACATTTTGTTTTTCCTTGATCAGGTACAGTCTGACAGAGCAACGGAGACTTTTTCTGTTAAATTTGGATCCAGTTATATTGGAAAATGAACTTTTGCTCTTTATTGAACTGCACTTTCTGGTTTGGTTGATGATAATATTTGATAGAATGCTTTTTGACAGGGCTAAGTTCTGGTATCAGTCGGGCAGTTCTATGAAGTGACTCCCAACCAGAATTTTTTTCTCTAAAACAGTTATCTCTGTGCACTGGTGAGCAAAATCAACATCTACAAAAAGATGAACGGTTTTGCTGGTCATTAATCGGCAGCTAATATAATCAATAGAATTAACGTGCAGTGCAGTGTTCAAGTGCGTACAAGGCTAGCTCACTGCCGGCGAGCGTGCCTTATGCTAATCAGCCAGCGCAACACCGAAATCTGGTTCGCCTTGACCCAAGTGAATGACACTGAAAGGCAGTAGAAGTGACTGCTTGTACGGGAAAGTGTCAGACAGTATGGTAGGAAGTGGTCGGAAGTGGTCAGCGGTCAGAAGCAAAGACAAAGGCGCGTGAAGTGCCTCTGAGAAGAACCAAGAGTAGTAGTGTGCAAAGTGAGCGATTAGTTAATTGAGCCAGTAAACGGCGTTTGCAATTGCCAATTGGCCGAGGGCAAAGAGGTGCTCAGAAACAGACAGACGGAGATGGTCTTAGTTGATGCGGCCAGCAGCCGATGCCTGGTCGCATTCTGGTGACGCCGACCACCGAGACCTACGACACCTCAATTAGCGGACTTGGTGTGTGAAGCGTGATCCCTTCATGCAAATTACTAGCTGGCTTGTCCCAATCTTCAGTGCACTTCGGCACTCTCCACCGTCGCCGTTGCCGCCGCTGTCGCTGCCTCTGCCGTCGTCCGAGAAAAAGCTCGAGCGCGCCGATCTGCAACGACGATGACGGCGACGAGGCCTGTGACGGGCCCATCACCGGCCACTGCACTGCAAAGGGAAATGTATGTGGCCTGCCAGCCGGCCGATTCCACTCTACCCACAGGCGTCGTCGCTGATGGACTGCTCCAAGTGCGCCGACTGCTCTGGCCAACGAGTACGGCGGAGGACTGGATGGCTGAGGAGTGCCGCCGTTGCAGCCGCCGTCGTTGGGGCACTGTGGAGGAGAAGAGGAAGGCATGAAGAAGAGAGGCGACGAAGTGAGAAAGCTAGCCTACGATACAAGCAGGCAACGTCGTCTGCTGCTGCCTCAGTCATCGACTGGCAGTCAGTGCAGCCATTAGTGATAGTGTGTGCCCATGATTTCGGTGCCGTGCATCGTGTGCCCCTTCTAGCTATTCAGCTAGTCGCAGCCACTGAGGACCCAGCAGCCAGGGCTCGGTCCCAAACAGTACAGCCACTTTGGGATCATCTACCTCTCTGGTCTGCTTCTCTAGGCTGTTCTGAAGCCCTTTTATTCTTCTCTCTTCTTGGCACTTTTTCCGCCTGTCCAACATTCTCACCATCATCGAGAGCGTTGTGTCGCCTCTCGTCACTGAGACTACCACTACCAGCAAAAACAACAACAACACCACCGTTTGCCCTGCCACACCACTATCATGAGCATCCTCATCATCAGCGACAATTGAGACTGCTTCTGAACTTTGCCACCAGTGATTGCACAAGGTAAGCTTGAGATGAAGCACTGCTGTTACTGTGTTGCCACAGTTCCCTCTGTCAATCTGCCCACAACGACGGCGTTGTTGCATTGTGTTGTTAACCCATTGTCTTGTCCGCTCTGGCCAAAGTCCCGTTGTGATCTGTCGTCGCCTTGTACTGGTGCATCTCGCCTTCTCACCACATCGAGTCTGTGTGTGTGTCGGTGTATGTTTACCGAGTGCTTCACCATCACCGCAGTAGCACCACTGCGACGACGGCCACCACCAGCACCAGCAGCCAACCACCAGCACCGCTAGCTCCAATGTCTATACATCGTTTGTACGCTGCACCACAACGCAGAAAGTGTACATGTCTGCGCGGTGCCATTCACATTGCTTCCCTTCCCATTGTTCCGCTGAAGGTGATCGTCGATCGTTAATTAGCTCACATTATTCGATTGCGCAAGCATTCACCAATGCTTTCAACAATCGCTCGCTCGTTAATAATAATAATAAAGTAGATTCATTTGCCGTGTCTTTCTCTCTCTGCTGTGCCCAGCAGATGGTGGGAGCCCAGTCTTCTCTTGGTCCTCTCTACCACCGGTCTACGCAAATGCTGGCATCGATTGGACAGACACGAGCCAGTCAGCTTATCGCCCTCCTGTCGCTTGTCGACTGGTTGCCCCTTGCTGTATCCACTGGCGTATCTTATCAAATTGGATGATCATGCTCAAGCCTACTGCAATACTCTTTGATGTCGAGGCAACGCTCGCAAACTGCTCCCTCAATGTTGCAAACGGTCAACCTACCCAGTGTGACACAATATGACATCCACGACCTTTTTTCAGACAAAGCCACCCTTTCCCTCAAAATTTCTTTCATTTCAGTTTATGGTTCACTCTTCTAAGGATAATGCTAATAGGCTCGCTAATACTCTGTGAGCAATTTGCTGCTCTGACCTGGTCAATGGTCATTGGTCACTCATGGGTCAGTTATATTCACACACTCGGTAAAGGGGAGGATAGCCCTTTGTGAGCGCGGTCAAGGCGTATTCCTGTGCAGTGACACCGGTGTTTGTTTAATTAAGCGCCCTAATTGATTCCACTCAGTTCTGACCCATGACTCTAATTGGCTCTTTGTGCCAAATCTGCAACCACCACCTCTCAATTGATTGCTGCAACGAACAGCGTAGCCACTAGCTGATTACCCGTGTGCTCCTCTTGCTCTTTCTCGAGCAGACCAGACAGAGCGGCCACTTCTTGCGGCTCCACTTGACTACTGCTCGCTGTCCATTCAACTGACCAGTGGCCAGCGCATTGTTTGGCTATATAAATATAAACAGTGCTCTCCCTCTCCCTCTGTCTTCCCAGCCGCCTGACGAAGATGATAATTTATTATTTTCCGCAGCAGACACTCACATCGACCGTCTCTGGCATCGACAAGTATATGTTCCGACTCTATAAGGCGGAGAACGAGTGCACAGCAGCAGCTGCTTGCACGGCCAAAGTGCCATCCAATTACGCTCTGCTCTCTACGAAACGCTACTTAACTCGGATAAGCTACCGATATCATTTTCAGCTAGTATCAGTCGCTCATTGACGCCGTCCGGTGATCAGTTGATTGGTGCCGCCGTGCCGCGCGACACCTTCCACTGTCACTCATCATTACCGATCCGTCACTCCGATTCTCCGATTCTCCGATGAGACCCACAACCCTCGGCGCAGTGAACGGTTGTGCTCCTAGTCGACAGCAGACGCCGCCGTACGGTGGCCTGAGTGGCCTTTGCAGGCGCCGGTTTGTGCGTCCTTGTCACGCTGGCCCCGTCCTGCCGCGTGTGCCTTGCCAGCCATCACCGACCGCCATTGCACCTTCTAGTGCTGCTTCTTGTTTAGTCCGCCGCAAGGGCCATTCACATTGAGGGCTCAGTGGATGCACTTAGTGCTCACTGGGACTGAAGGGCAGTCGGTGCGCTGCTTCGAAGCTACCACCACTGGCAGGCTGCACCAGTGCTGCGGACAGCAGTGCAGACAGTGCCAGTGGCGCACAGTGCCAACACCGAATTGAGCTGTGACTGAGCAGTTGTGTGTCTTCGCTCACGCTTCCCTCGGTGTCTTGTGTCTTGTGCGTGCCTGTCTTGTTATCTTCCAGGACCAGAAGCTCACCCTCACTCCGTTCTGCATTGGACGGCATTAATTGGTGCACCCTTCTTCACCCACTACCACTGTCTCTTGCTGCAGAAGAGCAGCGACGAGTTGCTGTATTTTGAAACGTTTTAGAGTAGCACTTGAGCACTTTCCATACCTTACCATTTGGGGCATTAAATCAATTTAGCCCATGTCCCCCATGTCGACAGTGTTGGCTGTGTCCTGCCAGCAGACAAATGTCGGCGCAGCCACACAAAACGAAGATGACACTGCGCCAGTAAAGTCCCCAGCAGTGCGCTAATTTCATTGCCGACCGGGTTCAGGCGCCTTTCTCATTGATTGAACTGCATTATTGCCCATTTCGGTACGTAATTCAGCGATCTACAACCAAGTGCTCGCTGTAGCGCAGCTCTCTCCCTATTTCTCGCTCTCTCGCTCGCTCGCTCTCTCAGGCCGTTCTCCGGCCGCTCAGTCGTTCTCTTCTGTTTGTCAGACAGGCACACATCGCTCGGTCGGGAGATCGTCCTGCGATATGCACTCCGACAGTGCACAGTGCACTGCCACTGACACACACTCGCACACAGACTGGCGGCCACACATCGACGAGGCACTCACTTTCAATTCGCCAGCGCAGAGTGGTCTTCTTGTGCTGTCTGCCTGCCTCATAACTTTATTCATCTGTTCACCACCACTCTCTTTCTGTCGCCGAGCCGAGCACTGTACACTGAGTAATGCCCTGGGTGTGTATGCCTTTCCTTCACAGTGACTCTCAGTGCTCTGTTGTGTGCAGCTTCCACTGGTGCAGCTTGTTGTTTTACCAACGGTGTCACTGTGATTAATTTCATAAATGATCCTATCACCAGAGCCAGTCTGCAGTGGTCTTTCTCCAACAGTCTTCTTCGATCGCCGATCAATCGCCTGAGCACTGTCAGCCACCGTGAGCTATCAAAATTTGCGCCACTTGATTTTGGCTCTTCACTCTGCTGTGATGATGATGATGATGATGATGACGGCGATGGGGAAGGCGATGGTGGTGATGGTGCTGGTGAGAATCGTAGCCTTGCCTTGTACTTCACGCTGTCTTCTCCTACGGCTGCATTAGCATGAAGCCAGTTTTGAGGTCGAAGCTTTTTGGCCGGTCAGAATCAAGGCATTTTTTAATTTGGCCCTAATGCTACCGGGGCGGTTGGAAGTTGTTGAGAGATGCTTCTGCTTCTTCTAAATGTACGCCAATTGCCAATTGGCTACATCCTCAATGCCTTTGTTTGCCAGTCACCGGAGCCTCGGAGAGGACTCGAGTGACTCAACGCTACTTTCTGCTGGCAGCACATTGCCAGATCCAACGGCAACTACTGTCACGCTGCTGTAGTGTTTTTGCTGTTGTTCAGCGCGGCACTTTTCTTCTCGTGTGATCCTCACTAGCTCGAGCGAAAGACTCTCTCGATAAAGGCTCTCATAGCTTTGAGTAGCTGCAGCGGCAACGGCAGCAGTAGCAGCAGTTCAGCTAGCAAACCATTGATCAAGAGTAGCTTTAGAAGAGAGACAGCATCGGCAGCAGAAGATGCCTGCTGTTTTCCTCTTGCGCGTATCATTCCTCCTCGTCTCGCCTTCTACCCCGATTTGTCTTTATATTCTGACACATTGCCCAACGCGCTCCTTCGCTCTGCAGACGCCGAATGACATCGGAGTGAACAAACTGCCGAAGTGCTGGTGCTACAATGCAGTGAGAGGAATCCTGCTACTACAATGCATTCTGATGACTAGCACTTCTGGTGGCAAGCTATCACTACCAACGCTGATTCGGCCACTGATTAGCATCAATGCTGGTCCAATCACCAGCACTAGAGAGGCCAATGCCACTTGACTCAAAGTGTGTAAGCAGGCAATCACAATCACAGCTCTGGCGTGTAACCACCGCCAGACACCACAATCCCGTCACAACACCAACAGGCAAACACGGCGCAACCTTTCCTCACTGTGCACACTCGGCAGAAGGCAACTCCTAATTAGAATGTACGAGTTCACTGAAATAGCAATTGAATTGTTCTCGTTCTGCAGCAGTGGCCAGCAAAGAGTCTGAGTAGGCAGTGGTGCACTGGTGAGCACTGTTCAGCACTATCCACCAGTGACCTCTTCACTGAGCTCTCTTTCTCCTCTCTTCCGTCCACTGTCCACTGTCACCGGGTGTCCGCGGACTAGTGAAGCGTTGGCCTTTTCTCTTGCTTCACCACTCTCCTTCAGCGAAGTGGACATGCTCGCCAATGACCGGCAGAATTAATTGCTCTCTTTGCGGACAGTAATCACCGGCAAGTGCCGCAAGTGCGACTTTTTACTTACTGGCCAATCACTTGGCTGAAGCAGTGCTCGGCCACTGCACTTACTACTACTGCTGCTGACTTTCACTGTAGATGGACACTAGTGAGCGTCTGTTAGCTCCTTCTCGCCTTCACTCTTCTTAAACGATCTTAGACAACAACGGCACTTGGCTTACACTGCCTCTCCTCACACTAACCCTTTCTTGTTTGCCTTTCAGGGCAGAGCTAATTAGGCGGAAAGAAGCAGCAAAAGAGGCGAACACCACACTGATGGTGACCAGATGACTGCTCGTGGCTGTGGTCAACCTGCGTCCACTTCAGCTGATCATGTACTATCCAGGTCTCTTTGAAACAGCCACTCACTCTTACCCTGCACTCAACTCAGCCGTCACTAGCAGCACCAGCAGTATATCACCCTTTGGCAAGGTTGAAAGGCCACAACCTGTGAGCAACATTCAAAATGGAATTGAACCACTGAGTTTGCTGACATTGGAGAACGGCAATAAAATGATCTCCAACCTATCCAACGGTTCACTAGGAGGTGCTAGTGGAGGAAGCCCCTTCCGCAGTGGTCATTTCACTTCCAGTCAATACCGACCCCCTGCTGCCACCCCTACTGACCACCACCTAATGGCATCTGCGTATGGCTCCTCATCAGCCACCGAAAACCTGGGCTCTAGTTTGCTACATGAGCAGTCCTTTCTGGAGGCATCTACGCCCTATAGTATAAACCCGCTGTCTTCCTACTCTTCGTACCCTCCTTACTCACTGGGCAACTCGGTGATCGGCTCAGCAATGAAGGCCCCAAGCAGTAGCACGTACCCTGGACACAATTCCTTTTACCCGCCAAACGGCTCTACATACTCCCCTCTGTACCCCTCTACTGCGCCCTCCTTCATTTCCGATTACATTACCCGAAGTCACATAGACGCCAACAAGGCAGCCTACACCAATTCAACCCCTTCTGATAGTAGCTCTTTCAACGAGCACCTGAAACGCCTTCAGGAGTCACTTCAGTCCAAGTCACCGAAAACGTCTGATAATGGGCACTTTCAGCATCAGCACTATCGGCCCTCTTCCACTCATTCAGCACACACCGGCTCGCATGGCAGCACTCAGCCTGTGAGACCTGAGCCCATTCATCTCCAGCCTGGCTCTTTCACACCCAAGTCGACTGTGATCAGTAACCACTACCAGCAGCCCTCTACCGAGGTGCCCATCAGCAAGGTCGATCATTGTGATAATGCACACAAACCAACGTCAACTCAGCAAGGGAATTCCGCGCAATCCACGGCGGATTCAAATAATGTTCAGCTTCAGCAACAGCCGTCTAGTGAAACTCAAAATGACCAGTCAACTACAAACAGCAAAGTAAGAGATTCAATTGACCAGACAATAGAAAATTGCATAGCTGGAAATGATTTGAAAGTGGAGGAGGAAAACACCAACCAGTCTACTAATGACTCAACAAAAGCGGCCGAACCAAAAGTAAGTAGTCCTTTCCAGTGTTTTTAAAATTCAAAGTTAATTGTTAATCAGCCAAATCTATGGGTGACATTTGACCTAGCAAAGAGGGAGAGAGCATACTGCATGACATCTTTGTTCAGAGCCACTACTTCTGTTCTGTCCACTTGAATGCACTCTCTTCACAGCTTCACAAGACGAATGCATCGGGCGTGAAATCACAGAACAGAAGAGAGAGAGAGAGAGAGAGAGAGGCAGTCTGTCACTAGACTAGCACAATGATAATAGCAACTCATTAAGTGCGCGTGCCTCTGTGATGTCCTCTCTCCTCGATGCGGAGCCATTACGGCCTCGGCGGCGGCGACCGTAGCAGCTGCAGTAGCGGTAGTACTTGCATGCTTGCCGGGCAAACCCGAGCACAGGAAGGCAGATTGATTCAAATGAGTCCGACCGATATCGGACTGATGGTGGCAGTGCACTACTACGGTGCACTTCCATAGATTCTCCTGCTGCTGCATCCACTGCGATAGTCGTCAGGCGGCAGTGGCAGCTCAGAGCACACGGCAACGGCGCTCCGCCAGCACAAGCTCACGTTACCAAAAAATGCAACCACTCGGTGCTGCACATCCAAATTGGCCGCAATCTTTATACTGGCGTGTAAATAAGCGAGTACAATTTATGTTGCCGACCACTCCAACCCATTGGAACAGCCCAGTTTTGTTTCGCTTCAACAGCAAAACATTTTTGGGCACACTAACACTAGACTAGAAGGAAAGACGAACAATTTAGCAGCAACCGTCAAGTGCTGATGCGATCGGTGGGCCGTTGTGCCGCGCACTTGATCGATTAATTAATTTGGCTAATTATTTTTCACTCTCTACTTACTAATTACCCGATAATTGGCTGCTCGCCTACTTGCCACTACTTAGCAAACACGTTCAACGCACTCAACACCGACACCTTCCTTAGTTCTCTGGGCAGTTTTGTTTGCCTAGCTATTTCCTCATTATTTGATCTAATTGGAAATGCAATTAAAAATACTAATCTAGGCTAGCAATACAACGCTCCTAAACAGTAGCATCTAGAGAATAAGCTTTCTTGACAGAAGCAGCAGTGAAAATGTTTGCGTGTTCTTCTGTTAGCCGCAATCAAAGTCTCTCTTTCTTCTAGGCAGTGTATGCTTGCAATACTTTTCTGGCTTGTCGCAGCAAAGGCGGTTGTAGTGCTGTTGTAGATTTTGTGCGCGACTAGTTTGCAGTTAACTGAACTGAACTAAACCGAACTGTCTCCTTCTGTTGCAGGATGGTGGCAAGTCGAAGCGTGTCAACGTTTCAGCCAAACAAAAGAAGAAACAGGCTCCAGCAAAGCGGAATCGATCAACTGAAAGCGGCGGTCAGTGTGGCGCGGAAACCGAACCGGAGACGAAGAAGCCAAAGAAGCGATGCAAGCAACCTGGTAAGTTGAACCCAAGGCAGTCGAGATTAGCCAGTGACCAGAAAACTGCTGTTGAGAGAGGTCTGCCTACCTTGTCTTGGAGCACCCTAGTTCTAGCTCATTTGAAATGCGCACTTGAGAGTTCTACTCTCTTTAGCTTTGCCTGAGCATCACAGTGCGGCACAGTATGGCACAGCCATACGCCGGAGAGTGTTGAACGGCACTTGTGCCACTTGTGCCCGCAGACGGCGAGCACTGCGACGCCATTGGTATTCGTGGCAAGTCGCTCGCGTCCGCGCCCGCCAAGCAGCACTCCACAGTACTGTACTTTCAATTAGCACCAGGCACTCGGTGGAGCAAANGTCAGTGGCCGGGCACTTGTGCCACTTGTGCCCGCAGACGGCGAGCACTGCGACGCCATTGGTATTCGTGGCAAGTCGCTCGCGTCCGCGCCCGCCAAGCAGCACTCCACAGTACTGTACTTTCAATTAGCACCAGGCACTCGGTGGAGCAAACTCTGAAACGGCCACTGTGCCTGAAACATGGTTTCCTGGCAATTTTTAACAATTGCACAGCCTGTGTCAAAAAAAATATATTTCGAGCAGCGTGCTGGTACAGGCTAATGAACTGAAGACGGCCGCTCAGGCCACCGCAGCAGACCGGCCTGCTCTTCCTATGCTCGCTAATCTTATTAGTGAGTGGCACATTTCGCATTAGGCCTAGCCGGCCACTGGTAATTGCGCCCACCCAGGCTTCACATTATTTTCGGCAGTTTAAAATAATTCAGCAATTATGTGCACGACAGAGAGTAGCAGTGAGCAAAAGAAGTCTCTTCAATTGGCACCTTTCTCTTTGCAGGCAACGAGGAAGGCAAGCGCCCAGCTGTAACTAAGCCAAAGGCGGCAAAAGGAGCAGTGCGTAAGGAAACGATTGCCAAGAATGACAAATCCAAGTCAAAGAGCAAGAAAAAAAGCAGTAGTGTGTCGAAAGAGGAGTCTAAAGAGCCATTAAAGGATTCTTCAAGTTCAACTGCCAAAACATCTACAGAAGTGTCAGAAATACAAAAGGAGGAAAGCACTCAAAAAGTCGAGCTGCCACATGAAGAGCAGACAAAAGTGCAGCAGGGGAAATCAAGTGAACCAAAGACTGGATCAAAAAAGGAAGCCAGTAAAAAGGTTAGTCAAGGTATCAAATATCTTTAGAGTGAGCCTTATACTAACGACAATATCCAGTCAAACACAACCGGTCGCCGAAGGCGCTTTCGCTCCGGTCTCGATATGATTAGACCTTCTCGTAAGAGGCCACCCAGCAAACCAAAGGTCGAGTCAAACAGTGCCAAAAAGGTGACTCCAAAGAAGAAGGACATTTCAATGAAGGTAAGCTGGGGTAGTCCTAGTAGTTTTTTTGGTAAAGACAGTCATTCTCACTGTGCGGCACTGCTCTCTCTCTATTTGACACAGGATTTTCGCTCCGAAACGAAGCGACTAATGGTTAACAAGTCCCTCGGTGAAACCTTGCTGCATCGATCTGCTCGCAACAATCGCATGGTAAGTAGAGTGTCACGGACGAACTAGCGGTCTCCCTCTGTCTCTGCCTCGTCAGCCAGCTCTAATGTGGCAATGTGCCTGCTCTCTCTGCTTCCTCTGCACAGGATGTGGTGAGGTACTGCCTCCAGTCGGACGCCTGTGACGTGGACGCACGCGATAATGCCGGATACACACCGCTTCACGAGTGCTCTTCACGTGGAAACCTGGAAGTGGCTCGCTTACTGCTGGAGCACTCGGCGGACGTCAACGCCAGTGCCACCGGGGGCATAAGGTGAGTGCGAGACTGTGGCTGCCGAATGAATGGCGGAGATTCAAGTCAAGTCGAGACAGAGTGGTGGCACAGTGCTGACGCACAGTCGCCGTTCACAGCCACCACTGGCTCCTTCTCAGGCATTCACTGGGCCCACTGAGGCCATTGAGCAGTATGTGCCACTGTGCACAGCAATTAACTCGAACCGCATTGTCCGTCCTGCAATCTCCTAACCATCTAATGACTCTTTCCGCCACAGACCTCTTCACGATGCAATCGAGAATAACCACGTTGAAGTAGGTAAGTGAGACACCTCTCCACCATTATATGTCATCACCTGCAAGGCACTACTGTCCAATTATAGAACAGTAACAAGGTGGCTCCTTTGTGTAACCTTTACATAAGCGCTCGCCCATACTTTTCGTGACAAATGGCTTTTTATACTTCTTGCCTAATCTAAACCTTATTTGCCTTAACAGTTCGGCTGTTGATTTCCTATGGAGCTGATGCAAACATTTCGGTAAGTACCGATTCACGCAATGTCGCGAATATTGTGCACTCATATTCTCACTATCAACCTGCTGCTTTTTCCGGACAGACATACTCTGGCACAACGCCTCTTCAGCTATGCCGCTCCAAATTGATGTTCAAGTTTCTCAAGGGTACGCCTGTTCAGCACTGTTCAGTTTGTGGCAAGTGAAGCTAATCGGCACTTTTCTCACCTCATTTCAGGCTTTTACTCTGACATTGGCACCGAAAGGCCGGTGATTGACTCGACGACGTTGGCCTGGAAGTTTTGCCATAAGCAGCCAGGTGAGTGAACTCTTGCGCAACGCTTTTGTTAGCCAGCCAACAGAGAATACTTACTCACTGCACTCCTCCATTGCCCATAGCCAAAGAAAGCGGGTTTGACATCTTTGCCGATGTGCCATCTGACGGGGAGGACTGCGAGATGGAGATCCTCGCCAGCAGCAGCAGTCCGGTGGTGCCACTTTACCGAGTGGAGGACGACGACAGCTCCAGCAGGTGAGATCGAGATGCGAGTGACCTCAAATCGAAGCCTAATCAAAGCTTTCTTTTCCAGCAATCCTCAATTCTATGCACTTCATGACGTATTAGAGGCGACAAAGTTGACAGAAGCAGAGTTTGTGCTGAAACATCCACAAACAGAAATCGCCAAAATGAACAAAGACGACTTTATAAAGGCCACACTTGATCAGCTTGATATGCGTCTTTCTGCAACCGTAGATCGTTTTGTAAAGAGTGAGGATGAAGAGGTGAACATAATATACCGCAACGATGCCATCGATCAGATACTAAACATTTCAAGCACTGTGATAAGGTAGCGCTCTCTTGAGAGCCAATGAAGCGCTACAACCTAATTGCTGTATACTTAATTGTACACATATTTGTTACATACAATAAACACCATTTCGGGTTGACCGGTGGTAATACTAAGTTTTATTAATCGTTACAAGTTGATCAGATTCCGCCGTTTGAACATGGGTTTTCTAATTTTATAAAAGAGAGTTACAAAGGTCGTACGTATTGAATTGGAATAGACCATCATCTTGGTGTCCAAAGCCTTTTGCTTGAACACAAAGTTACAAAAATGCGCGCAGTGAATGTGAAGCCCATCGCAGTGCCCGGCAACTGCTTCCTTAGGTGGGGCACGCATAGTAGAGAAGCTTCAAGTGTGTGATATCTGTTAGCAGTAGTGATCGAGTCACAGATTCGTGCGCAGTTTTGTTACCGAAAGTCAGCAACAAATTACAACATGATGATGATTCAGATAAATAAGGTTGACATAATTGCAAAATAATCTATTTGTGTTGGTGTTTGTGTATGCTGTGTGTGCTTTGTGTGTTGGCGTCACACAATCAGTGTGACATTCAGAATTCCTGATGCACTTTCGCGTCAATGCAAAGTGCAACAGAAGAAAATCATCTTTTGAGAATTAACCCAGCTGAGGTGGATTACTTCTCACTGAAAAAGAAAAAGTGTATCTGTGTGTGTTGTGGGTGTGTCTGTGGGAAGGTGTGTGAAATGACGAAATGGCATTCGAAATGGTTGAGAGAAAGAGGGAGAAGAAAGAGAAAGAGAGAGAGGGAGAGAGAGTTGAGTTGTCTCGGGACTTTGTGAACATATGTAGCTGCTGTCGAGTTAAGTTCAGAGACGAAGAGTTCATTTTAAAGTAGCGGCGCCGAGAGAAGGTGGTGGGCACTGTTCACAGGCCCAGCCTGAGTGGACCAGGCTGGGTCGATAGACAAAATAATACTATTTGCGCGCGTCAGGCAGAGAGCGCAGTGCCCAGTGGGGCAAGGCGGCACCCTGCACTTATTAAATTTTGTCAGTTCTCTCGCGGGCACCTCTTCCAGCGAGTGAGTCTCCTCGTGAGAAGTGTGAAGAGTGCGTGAGTGTGGGAGCACTGCAGCAGAGCATTGAGAGGGGGCGTGAGTGGACTAGATGGAGCCGCAGCAGTGTCACCCCAGTCAGTGCTCAGAGCCACACTAGTCGCAGTCTGCATTGCTCGCACCTGAATCGGTGCACTTATCACGCGTATCACTTTATCACTAGCCTTCGACTCTTCGTCTAATGCGTGCGCGCGCCTGTGTGGATGAGACCTAGCATCGTATGTACAAAGCAACATATATATACACAACTTATGAAATGCCTATGAATTGAGAAAGATGGAAATTGNGATGCGTGCGCGCGCCTGTGTGGATGAGACCTAGCATCGTATGTACAAAGCAACATATATACACAACTTATGAAATGCCTATGAATTGAGAAAGATGGAAATTGAATAAAGGAAAGAGAGAGATAGAAGATATTGACAAGGAAAAATAGAGGTTCAATTTTAGANGGATGGAAATTGAATAAAGGAAAGAGAGAGAGAGAGAGAGATAGAAGATATTGACAAGGAAAAATAGAGGTTCAATTTTAGAGTGGCATTGCATTAGCTCAAGTTCGACCGAGATCATAGAGATTTGTAAAGGAAAAGTATAAATTTGGATAAATAGACATCTAGGAAAGACGTCTTTAACGAATGCCATTTCGTTTATATTAAGTGTGTTAAAAATTGAAAAAATTAATAAAATGGTGATAGCCTTAATAATAATAATAACTTAGCAGTAGAATAAATGTGTAGCAAAGAGAAGGAGAGAGGGTTACTACAAACCGGTAAGAGAAGAGGCGGCGGCGGCGGAACTGATTGGCGATCAGAGACAGCTGCTGGCGCTTAGCTGTCCCAGCAGCTGGGTCCATTGTTGTTGCTGCGGGTTGCTCGGTTAAAGTTCGAGTTGCCGCCATAGTGATTGTTGTGGTTCGAGAAGCCGTTCATTCGTGGTCCATTGTTGTAGCGGTCATTGCGATCGTCAAAGGTTTGACGATAATCGCGAGCGCCAAAACCACCAGAGCCATATCTGTAAAGGGTAAAAGAAAGTGAGTTTTCGTTGTTGAAGAAAAGAAATGGGCAAAACGAACCGTCGGTTTCCGCCGCCTCCTCCTCCACCACCGCCATAGCGTCGGTTCATTCCGCTGCGATCAGAGTTGAACTCCTTGACAGCGCTCTTGAGGAAGTCGGGCACGTCCTGCTTGGTTTCGACCATAAGCTCGTACAAGTCAGCCGAAATGTTTCGATTCTTGTCGTTGAAGAACGAAGTTGCCAGACCGAGATTGCCCACACGGCCAGTACGACCAATGCGGTGGACGTACTCTTCGATGTCGTTAGGCAAATCAAAGTTAATGACGTGCTTAACGTTGGGAATATCCAAACCACGAGCGGCGACAGCAGTGGCCACCAAGATGGGAGTGTGGCCAGTTCGGAAGCTGTGCAGAGCCCCCTCGCGCTCGTTTTGGGAGCGATCGCCATGAATACTGGTCACAGAACAGCCAGCAGCCTCCAAAAAGTGCTCCAAGCAGTCAGCGCCCTTTTTGGTCTCCACAAAGATCAGCGTCAGAGATTCGGAGCCTGTTTTAAAGGTTGATTTTAAATCAATTAAATACTGTTCAATTGCATGGTAAAGGGGGAGATAAACTTACTAGACAGCTCAATCTGCAGCAAATCAAGTAGATAGGTGCGCTTGTCGTTTTCCTCAACCCACTCGATCTTCTGAGTGATGTTCTCCGAAGTACTACCAACGCGACCGACGGACAAAAAGATGTAGTCCTCGAGGAAGTTACGAGCCAACTCCTGCACCTTCTTGGGAAAGGTGGCTGAGAACATGAGCGTCTGTCGAACACCGACCGGAGGCATGTTGCTGTGAAGCACGATCTGGCGAATCTGAGGCTCGAAACCCATGTCAAGCATGCGATCGGCTTCATCTAAAACCAAGTGAGAGACGCACTCGAGGCTCACTTTGCCACGCTCGACCATGTCAATCAAGCGACCTAGAGGAATAAGAGAAAGAATGTTTAGAAAAAAGAAGCAAGTCAAGTGATGCAAGAGAAAGACATACCTGGTGTGGCCACCAGAAGCTGGCATCCATTGTCCAAGTCGCGAATCTGCTGGCCAGCATCAGACCCTCCGTAGACGACGCAGGGTCGCACTCGAGAACGGTAAGCAAACTTCTTGGCTTCGTCGTAGATTTGCACAGCAAGCTCGCGAGTGGGAGCCATAATGAGAATCAGCGGCGAGTGGCGTCGGCGGCCGCGCTGAGGAGGCGCCAACTTCGAGGGGCCATCAGAGAATACATTGTTGAGAATGGGAATCAGGAAGGCAGCAGTCTTGCCTGAGCCAGTCTGGGCGCACGCCATCAGATCACGACGACGCATGATGATGGGGATGGCGTAACGCTGAACCGGCGTAGGGTGCGTGTACTGAGCCATCTTGACATTGCTATCGATGATTGGAGTCAGATTCAGTTCGGCATCATGAAAAGTCTCGATAGGTGGTGGGTAAGTGTTGCCAGAAACTTGAACCGGGATATTTTCGTACTGGTCAAAGTTGATGCCAGTGTGGACGCTCGAGAAGAGAACCTTCTCGTACTTCTCATTACGCTCGCCGGGAACAGTCCAGTCATCGGGATCAAAGTTGCGATTGCGAAGACCGGGACCACCAGCGCCGCCACCACCGTAGTTGCCACGAGGACCGCCGAAGCCACCACCGCTACCATTGCGGTAGTTGGGCTGGGGTCCAGGCGGAGGCATCTCAGAGATGGCCACGCTTTGCTCCGAGCCATCGCCTCGGAAGTTTTCGTCCGGAGCGCCGGCACGAGCAGGCTCTCGCCAAGAGTTGTTGAGGGATCGGTTGCGATTAAAGAAGCTACCTTCATTGTTGTTAGGGCGTCGGTTTCGGTTCATGTAGCCATTATCGTAGCCGCGATCATCGCGGAAGCCACCACGATTGCGGTTGTCGTAGCCACCACCACTACCACCTCCGTAGCCACGAGATCGGTCATCAGATCCGTAATTGTTGTAGCGTGGGCGATTGTAGTCAGCACGAGGTGGCTCAGAATCGCGGGAAAATTCTGGAAAAGATTTACATTACTACGTGTAGGAGACAACAGCTGTGTTGCGACTTACCTCGTCGGCTATAGTACTCAGTTGGAGGATTGGGCGGATACTCGCCCTGAACAGGGGTTCGCAAATTGGGAGGAATGTATCTTCCGCCGCCGCCGCCGCCGTTGCTTTGATTAATGTCCAGACCAGCAAACTAGAGAGGAAACAAAAAGGTGAGAATTGTAAAGAAGCACTTGATGTTTAAGATTGCGCANGATTGGGAGGAATGTATCTTCCGCCGCCGCCGCCGTTGCTTTGATTAATGTCCAGACCAGCAAACTACAGGAAACAAAAAGGTGAGAATTGTAAAGAAGCACTTGATGTTTAAGATTGCGCAAAAGTAATACGTACTTGCTGTTCTAGACCTTTCGCCTCATTTTGAGAGAAACCACTCATAATCAATGGGAAGTAGATTTACTCGAGAGAAGTGATCGACAAATAGCAAACTAATAAATCGGTAATCTAAAGTCAGATGGACACAAGTGAAATCAACTGAATGAAATTCAGAACAGAAAGAACGAGAGAAAGACAGTGAGTGAGCAACTTGATCGTCGTAGCTTAATGCGAGCTCGTAGATGACGTACTCCTTTCCAGACCAGGTAAAAAATTATCGTTTTTCCAGTGCCCGAGACCAGGTATTAACCTTCAAACACACCTGGGGACAAGAGTTTTGTTACTTTTGGTAAATATGCACATTTTACACAAGATGGGCGTTTGCTAGGCCTGAAAATGCCTAAAACTGGGCGGTTTAGCCGGTTGCCGCCTTGGGTCGCATTAGCCGTGACTATTTTCACGGACCAGCAGGCCAGCTTACACACGTTTTAGTTGGTTTCCGTTTTGCTTGTTCTTTTTTTGCTTGGCAGTCGCCTCTGAATTTGTACCACCAAAAAGAAATGGGACGAGTTATCCGCGCCCAGCGAAAAGGTGCTGGATCGGTCTTCAAGAGCCACAACAAGCACCGCAAGGGAGCCCCCAAGTTCCGCTCCATCGACTTTGCCGAACGCCATGGCTACATCAAGGGAGTCGTGAAGGTAAGACTGTTTGTTTCATTCCGATTCAGGCGAAGACTCACTGACACGTGGTCTTGGCGCCCTGGTCCCTAGTGAAAGTGATGATAAAAAACTATTCTATTGCATAACTATTCTTGAGTGAAATTTAGAGGCTATTTCTGAGACTAGTTCGCCTCACAGATAAACTACGGCCGATGACCTGCTTGCTAACTTTGTATTTATTTACTCTTTCTACAGGAAATCATCCACGACCCAGGCCGTGGAGCACCGCTGGCCAATGTCGTCTTCCGCGACCCGTACAAGTACAAGCTGCGCAAGGAGCTGTTCATCGCTGTCGAAGGCATGTACACCGGCCAGTTTGTGTACGCCGGTCGCAAGGCCAACCTGCAAGTTGGCAATGTGCTGCCCATCGGCACCATGCCCGAAGGTACCATTGTCTGCAACCTGGAGGAGAAGGCCGGTGACCGCGGCAAGCTTGCTCGCGCCTCGGGCAACTACGCCACTGTCATCTCCCACAATCCCGACACCAAGGTACTGCTCAGTGACTGTTCATTTAGTGCTTTCTGCGTACTCAAACACAATTTTCATTATAGAAAACTCGCGTGAAGCTTCCATCGGGCGCCAAGAAGGTGATCCAGTCGGCTAACCGAGCCATGGTGGGCATCGTCGCCGGTGGCGGTCGAATTGACAAGCCTATCCTGAAGGCCGGTCGCGCCTACCACAAGTACAAGGCGAAGAGGAACTCGTGGCCGAAGGTGCGTGGTGTGGCCATGAACCCTGTCGAGCATCCCCACGGTGGTGGTAACCATCAGCACATCGGCAAGGCCTCCACCGTCCGAAGAGACGCCAGCGCCGGTAAGAAGGTCGGTCTCATCGCTGCCCGCCGAACTGGTCGTATTCGTGGTGGTAAGAAGGAGGTCAAGGAAGACAAATAAACACGGCGATTTTTAACATCTGTTTTGCTATAAATAATAAACTCTCGAAAAAGGGCAGTTTCAATTGTTTTTATTGTTGTTATATGAGTATATGAGTTGTCTTTCTCCGCGAAATCCATCAAGTTGTTTAGTGAGCGGCAAGATGACCTGGTTTTTGACTGACATTGCCTTGTTGTTGGTTTTGTTCGCCGGCGTTTTGGGATGATGGCCTACACGTCAACACACATGCCAATGAATGAAAAGGTGTTTGAACCAAGATTAAAGTGCATGCACTTTACCTTGCCGTCAACGTGGGTTTCGGCATCTTTGCCAAGCTGTAATCAATAATCTGAATTAGTTTTGAAACTTAAGAAAGAAGAAAGGACATCCTTACAGAGAGGGTATCTCCTTCTTTTCATCAAAGTTCTTCCACATTTCAAACAAGTTTAAAATGTACCGCGTTATCTCCAAAACCTACAAATAGCAAATGTTAGAATGCGAGTTCGGAATCCAAATAATTTTGTTACCTTATCGAGATCAGTATTCAGTTCAGCAAACCATTGTTTGCAGTCTTTTTGTGTAATGACACACGCAATGTGAAGACATGCTGAGATTTTAAAAAAAGCATTAGCAAAAAGTATTAAACAAAAGTCAACTCCAGTACCTAGTGCAATTTGATGAGGAGGATATAGCAAGCAGACATCTGAAATTTGTCGAGTGGGTCATTCAAGTGTTCTAGCAAAAGTGAAACTTACCTGTCCTGTAACTGTCATTAACAACATTCCTAAGCGGTATGAAAAGTTAGAGTTAAACACTGATAGCCATAGAAACAAAATACCATGCAGTTGGAAGAATATTGTCTTTGTTGCTCCAATCGTGCACAAACTGCACCAACGGCCGGTAAGGATGATAAAGAATGAGGCAGCAGTCCTAAAAGTGAGTACACCTTGATTAGTGAAACCGAAATTGCCGTTGGCGGTGAAAGTAAACCATCATTTCCATCAGGTAAAATTCACACTCCAGGATTTGATTTATACGATATGGAAATTCTTGTGGGTAGGCGTAGGAAAACTTGGTTTTCACTAAAAAGTAACGTTATTAAACTTGCACTTGAAGTACAGCTGACAAAAGCAAACTTACCAACTTGCTGGCAGGTAGTAATGAGGCGGTTATTTGATATTACTCCAAACTCTTCGACTTTGGAAGCTAAAAAGACACAAGTTGGAGCTAACAGCAAAGGATCGATGCATTTGAATGAGTTCCGTACGTAGAACCGCTTAAAGTACACGATTGCCGTTGCTATAACTTGCTGTTTCACTTTTAACTGCTCTCCAAGTGCCTGAATCACTGGATCAAAGTTGAATTAGAATATGAAGAAAGCGAATCAAGAACTAGTATTTACAGTTGGAGAAAAATATCAGCAACTTTTGGTACTCCTCTTCGGTGAGAACTTGCATGTCGTGAAAGCGCTCCCGCGCCAGATCTTGTTTGGTGATTAGCCATTGCTGAAAGTGAGAGCTTCTCCAGAAGCTGCCCGACATGATGCGGCCGGCCAACAATGAAAGATACCAAACAACGTCAAGTGGAAGATTTCAAACACGCAAACAACAACAACAACCGCGACCAGTCGCCAAAGCAGCTGAGAGAGCAGCAGCGGCAGCTGTCCCTTCAACTAAGACGTGTACTTCGCCTGTTTGATGTCCACATTTGATTTTTGCATCTCGTCCTGTTCAGTTCACTCTCCCCAACTTCTGAGCTGTCAATCGCACCAAAATGCTCAAGCCGAATCTCATCGTCTGCTTCCTTCTTCTGGTGTCAGCTGCAGTCATCTTTGCGGGAAAGAGTAAAGAGAAACCTGACTGGGCCAAGAAGGACATTCGTGACTACACTGACGCCGATTTGGAACGCCTTTATGAGCAGTGGGAAGAGCAAGAAGAGCCTCTGCCCGAGGATGAACAGCCAGAGCATATGCGAAAACCGGCTCCGCTTGATATGTCCAAAATGGACTTTTCTAATCCTGAAAACGTTCTCAAGCTGAGCAAGAAAGGCAAGACTCTGATGACGTTTGTTTCAGTTGCTGGTAACCCATCTCGCGCAGAAACCGAGAAGGTCACTGCTTTGTGGCAGTCCAGCCTCCAGAACAGCCACATTCTTGCCGACCGCTTCATTGTCGCTGATGACCGTGCCATTTTCATGTTCAAGGATGGATCCCAGGCCTGGGAGGCAAAGGACTATTTGGTTGAGCAAGAGCAGTGCAAAGAGGTGTCCATCGAAAACAAGGTGTACCCTGGAAAGTTCTCGTCAGGTCATGAAGAACTGTAATGATGCTCTTTTTAATTGTATATTTGTGGTGTACAAATGTGTATAAAACTCTATTAAATATATTTCATTTTGTTATCAGTTTGTTTATACATGCAAAACAAGAAAACATTGCGGCGATTGCTAAGTTGCTTCGAAGCGGGAAGGCTAAACAAATTTTCGACGTGATTTCTTCTTTGACACCCCTGCCCCGTGTCCGCTGTATTTGCCGCCTCGCCTGGACACCTTTCGAGGACTTTGGCACTGGTTTCCACTGAAGGCCTTCTTGCAGCGACATCGATTCACGCCGACGCACTTGCCGCCGTTCAGACACGGTATATGACACTTTGAGTATTGACATCTGCAAAGGAAGAACACAGTGCTTACAGTGACTTGCTCAAACAGAAACTGCATTGAGAATACCTAGGCCCGTAGTAGCCTCTTCCACAGCGGCATTTGTCCTTCTGGATACATCTGCCTCCGTTGAGGCACTTTTCAGCACAGATTCCTCCCTGCAGAAGTGATGGTTAGTGACTGGGGTGGAGATCAATTGGCACTCATCTTCATTTGCACTTACCTCGCAGTGCAGTCCCTGGAAGCCATGCGAACACATGCACTTTCCTGGTGCAACACAGGTGCCGCCGTTCATGCACTGAGGATAGCACAGGGCCGATTCGCAGTACTTGCCGAGAAAGCCTACCCAAACAGAAGGGAAGAAGTAGAAAGGACATCAGGTTAATGCCTTTCAAAGCACGCGAGCATAGTGTCGCGAAATACCTGTGGCACAGACACACTGAAACGTGTCCTGGTTACATTTACCATTGCCGCACTTTTTGTCGCACTCAGGATCGGGGCCTCGGTAGGAGCACTGCTTCTGCAGCTTCAGCCGAATCGTCGCCAGATTCTGATTTACATCCTCATTGACGATGCGTAGGCCCAGCGTGAAGGTGGCCACGCCAGAGGTGTTGCCGACACAGGGAATTAGCACCTCGAATTCAGTAGGCTTCCGCGGAACGTGACCACTGGGCGAGATGGAGATGATGGGAGAGTTGAGAATGTCCTTGTTGTAGGACTGCAACTCGTAGAACATGTAGGTGTAGTTGCGATTCTCGCCCGCTTTCCAGGTAAAGTTGACTGCAGTCACCTCGGAGGGAATCACCGGCAGGTTCTTCTCAAAGTTGGGGTCGAGCAGCTGGTGAAGCACAACGCCATCCATGATGACGTATATGTTCATGGGAAAGCCTGTGGGAAGAGTGGGCACCAATTAGAGAATGGATTTGAGCAGCATGCAACAGGCTTATCGCTGAAAGTGAGCCCAATTATGCCGTGGAGTACCGTACCGTTGAAGAACTGCTTCACCTGCGCCTCATCGATCCACAGCGACATGTCATCCTTGGCGTATCCGGGAAAGAGACTGTCCGGGCCATAGTTGTCGACGCTGGCAGTGAGACTGGTGCCCACCTGGAGCAGGCTGTGCACACAGGCGAGCACGAGGGCACAGTGGCAGCGGCGAGCCAGAGAATCACTGTGCTGCATCCTTCCTTCCTCTGCGACACACTCTGGGTCAGTCACAGTACTCGCCTCTGGAACCCTCAGCTGACTCGATACAGCACATTGCGCGCTCTGCGATCATCTGTTGCCGCACTCTTGTTTGCAAACACTGCCGCAGCACCACTGCAGTCTGCAACTGCAGCACATAGTTCAAGTAGAGGCGTGGCTCTGCCAATCTCTCGGTAAAAGTGTATTGATTGAAAATTGCTTTATTTGATACAAATGAAAATGAGCCTAGTCGTCGACGTTGGCGGAGAAATTGCCAAACAGTGATTTAAAGAGTTCACTTTTCGCCTCATCAGTCATGCTAGTCCGGTCGACGGGTGCCATAAAGTTGACCAGCTTCTCATGAACGTCGTAGCGGATTTTGCGACCTTTGCTTGCTCTAGTATCGACCTGCTTTTTTAGCTTATTGCGCATTCGCTGAATTTCCATGTACTTTTTTGACATTGCTGTAGAATCGTCTACATTTCCCATTTTGTTTTCAATTATCTGCCTTAGAAGTTGATGGTAAAAATCGTCGTCATCGTAAGTGTCAAGAACGAGACTGCTGTTTGGGTCATCCTCAGGAGCTTCTGAATTTTCACTTTGGCCAATAATCTTAATGGCAGAACGCTTTACCCGCGTGCGGCTAATTAGGCGCTCTTTGTTTGTCAATATTTGATCAATTGACTTTGTTGGGCAGACGTCAAAAGACTCAAACTTTTTAAGCTTTGCATTTGCGTTGACAAACTTGGTCCGCTCGTGCCAGTCCTCAATGACAGGACGATACTGCGAGGCAAGTTTGCAAAATCTCTTTGACAGAGTAGACTCTTCAAAATCAGTGCTTTTTGGGCGTTTTCTTTCAGGCTTACTGGCGGTCTGTTCTGCCTTGTCTTCTTCATTGTTCATGTCCAGAAAAGTATCGAGTTCTAGTAGAAGCTTTCCCAACTTGCGTGTTCCTTTTGCGCACTCGTTAATTAACTCGGTCAGTAAAGCAGATTTGGCACTTTTAACTGCGGACAAGTTTTGGTGCTGCGGTAGTCGATTTGTTGATAAAAGCAATTTTTGCATTTTGATGCGGGCTTCTAACAAGTTATCGTAAATAAGAAGTTGATTCTTTACAGCACTTGCTTTAGACATCTGTTTGCTTGCGTCAAAGTTGAGAATGTTGAAGTTATCATCGTCATCATCATGAGAAACTCCATTTGATGGTTTAGGCAATTGGTCGGAGTCCCCAAGCTCATCGTCGCTCATTTGATCTTCTTCATCAAAATCACTTTCCGAAAGACCTTCCTCGTCGTCTTCTTCCTCATCATCAACTTTACTATCATCAAGCTCGCCCTCGCGGCTGCTGTCGTCAGAATCGCTGTTTACATTTTCACTTATACTTTCTGATTCCTCATCGTCACTAGCCAAGTTGGTACGGCTTATTTTTTTGCCAACGTACCTAAACACAAAAAAAGTTTTTAATTAAATTACGATACAGTTTTTAAACACAATACCTTTTATCAATCGAAGATAGAAAAGACACCTGCTTCTTTCGAATCTTGCTAACTACTGGCGCTTGAACTTCATCATCATCATTCTCCGCGGCAGGTCTCGAGTTGAACCACTTGTCAGACGAATCGATATTTTCGCCATCTTCAGGATCTTCAAAAGTAGGCTCTGGGTTGATCAAGTTCTGCAGTTCATGCGATAAATTACGATTGTTCATTTTGGAAACACGATCTATGATGCAGAAAAACGATGAAAATAAAAAACAAAATCACGTGGAAAATGCACTATGTTCACTTCAGCTGCCAAATTGCAGACAACAGCTAGACTCGGTGCAAATAGATCCGCTCCTCAAAAAAATACTTCAAGCCGAGTCAACTCAAACTCGTACGTCAGGGCGTTAAACTATATATCAACATCACATATATTCCACGATCGACGGAGAACTTGTCCCCACGTATTCCAACTTTTGATCGCCAACCACATCAGCATCTCCTTGATCTCTAAACAAATCACCACCACCACCTGAACTCGGCTCCAAAATGACCGACGCCAAGTACTTTGCCAACACCAAAAAGGGTGAAATTTTTGAGTTAAAAAGTGAACTCAACAGCGACAAGAAGGAAAAGCGGCGTGAAGCTGTCAAAAAGGTGATCGCCTCGATGACAGTGGGCAAAGATGTGTCCGCCCTCTTTCCCGACGTGGTCAACTGCATGCAAACCGACAACCTGGAGTTGAAGAAGCTGGTCTACCTTTACCTGATGAACTACGCCAAGAGTCAGCCGGATCTTGCTATCATGGCAGTGAACACCTTTGTCCGTGACTGCGAGGACCCAAATCCACTGATCCGAGCACTTGCTGTGCGCACCATGGGCTGCATCCGCGTGGACAAAATTACCGAGTATCTGTGCGAGCCTCTGAGAAAGTGTTTGCGAGATGAAGATCCCTACGTACGCAAAACCGCTGCAGTGTGCGTGGCCAAGCTCCACGACATCAATGCACAGATGGTCGAAGAGCAGGGCTTTCTCGATCTACTAAAGGACCTTCTCTCTGATTCCAATCCGATGGTGGTCGCCAATGCAGTAGCCGCTCTTTCGGAGATCAACGAAACCTCAAGCTCGGGCAAGCAGTTGGTGGAGTTCAACATCCAGGCCATCAACAAACTGCTCACTGCTCTCAATGAATGCAATGAATGGGGCCAGGTGTTCATCCTGGACTCGCTTGCCAATTATTCGCCGAAGGATGATCGCGAAGCACAGAGCATCTGCGAGCGAGTAACACCCCGCTTGGCTCACGCAAACGCAGCCGTCGTCTTGAGCGCTGTTAAAGTGCTAATGAAGTTCATGGAACTGATTCCAGGCGATTCGGATTTTGTGGGCACACTCATTAAAAAACTTGCGCCCCCACTGGTGACGCTTCTGTCGAGCGAGCCTGAAGTGCAGTATGTGGCGCTGCGAAACATTAATCTAATTGTGCAAAAGCGGCCTGACATTTTGAAGCATGAAATGAAGGTGTTTTTCGTCAAGTACAACGATCCCATTTACGTGAAACTGGAGAAGCTGGACATCATGATCCGCCTCGCCTCTCAGGCCAACATTAATCATGTCTTGGCAGAGCTGAAGGAGTACGCTACTGAAGTGGACGTTGACTTTGTGCGAAAAGCTGTTCGAGCCATCGGCCGATGTGCCATCAAAGTGGAGCAGTCGGCGGAACGCTGCGTGGCCACGTTGATTGAGCTCATTCAAACGAAGGTCAACTACGTGGTTCAGGAGGCGATTGTCGTGATCAAGGACATCTTCCGCAAGTACCCCAACAAGTACGAGAGCATCATCTCTACTCTGTGCGAAAACTTGGACACCTTGGACGAGCCAGAGGCACGTGCTTCCATGATCTGGATCATCGGCGAGTATGCAGAGCGTATTGACAACGCCGACGAGCTGCTGGAGAGTTTCCTGGAGGGGTTCCACGACGAGAACACTCAAGTTCAGCTTCAACTGCTGACTGCCATCGTCAAACTGTTTCTCAAGCGGCCCACTGAAACACAGGAACTTGTTCAGCAAGTTCTCAGCCTGGCCACCCAGGACAGCGACAACCCTGATCTGCGTGACCGTGGCTTTATTTACTGGCGACTTCTCTCAACCGATCCAGCCGCCGCCAAGGAGGTTGTCCTCGCTGAGAAGCCACTCATTTCCGAGGAGACTGATCTCCTTGAGCCAACTCTACTCGATGAGCTGATCTGTCACATTGGCAGTCTGGCCTCTGTCTACCACAAACCACCTTCTTCCTTTGTGGAGGGAAAGACTGGTCAACTTCGAAAGTCTCTCACCACTCGAAATGGCTCCAATGAGGAGAACGGCGCTCCAGTTGAAGCGGCACAGGCGACGGTCATTCCAGCAGCCGATAGTTTGATTGGCGATCTCCTCAGTCTGGACATTGGAACACCGGCTGCATCTACCAGCGTTTACCCCGCTGCTAATGTCGACATTCTCGGCAATGGCCTAGACAGCCTCCTTGGCGGTGGCACTGACGCACTTGGCGCTGCCTCGTCTGTTTCTCCAGTTCCTGCTGCGGCCTCTTCCTCAGGACTTTTGGGAGACATTTTCGGCCTTGGATCTACTGAAGCCTTTTACATGCCTCCAAAACAGGTAATGTGTTGCTGAATTGTCAGTTAGTTTTCTTTTGCAATGTTTTAACCAAAATGTCCTTGTAGGTTTGGCTGCCGGCTGCTCGGGGCAAAGGCTTGGAAATATCGGGATCTTACACTCGTAAAGCAGGTCAAATTGTTATGGAGATGACGTTCACAAACAAAGCCATGCAAGCGATGGGTGGATTCGCCATTCAGTTTAACAAAAACAGTTTCGGTCTTTCGCCAGTTAACCCACTGCAGGTGCCCACTCCGCTTCAGCCAAACTCGTCTGTCGATGTCAGTCTGCCACTCAACACCTCGGGCCCTGTGCAGAAGATGGAACCGTTGACAAGCTTGCAAGTGGCGGTCAAGAACAATGTAGATGTCTTCTACTTTGGCTCACTTATTCCAATTCACGTTTTCTGCTGTGAGGACGGCGCCATGGACAAGCGATTGTTTTTGTCTACCTGGAAGGAGATTCCCACGCAGAATGAGATTCAGTTCACCATCGAAGACGTCACCCTCAATGTAGAACAAGTATCGAGCAAGTTGCAATCGAATAACATTTTCACCATTGCTCGGCGCAATGTCGAGGGTCAGGATATGCTGTACCAGTCAATGAAGCTGACCAACAGTATCTGGGTCTTGTCGGAGCTAAAGATACAGCCCGGCAATCCGAAGATCACTTTATCACTGAAAGCTCGCGTCACCGATGTCGCCCACTCTGTGCATCAAATCTATGAGATGATTTTGCATAGCTAAACTAGTGCATGATTAAATCAACAAACTGAGTCATTCACAATTTCAGTAACGAAGCTTTCCTTTGCGGTACGCTAGAAAGCTATTCTATTAGCTCTTTGGTCGTGTTTGCAGGTACAGCACCGCTTTCTCTTGCCCCATTGATGCGTTCCACTTTCCAGTAGACCTCTGTATTTCAGTGAACACTTATTACATTGTATGAATTGAGCCAATAAATCGTTATGTTCATTCTAAAAGATTAAAGTGCGTGTTCTCTATTCCGGTGGGGTTGAATTAGTAATTCAATTATCCTTTCGAAAGATTGTAAGCACAGGAAATTTATTTGACAAAATGCCGCCTTTGAGTGAAGCCAATTTTCGTTTACTGTTGAAATGATTGACTTGCAGGTTGATTGGCATGCCAAGTTAATCGGGTCATAATGGAGTCAGTGACAAGGAGAAGCTGCCTTCAATTGGCCGAAGCAGTGACCACCAATGATTGCTAAGCAAACAGCTGCAAAGAAATGGGAACAATGCTCTTCGGAGACCCTCGTGAAGGCAATGTCCGGCTGGTTCCTTGCTGGTTCCACCTTATCGCCATCATTCCGATTGACAGTGCTTCAGTCCATGTGTCAGATCACTGTCAGTGCTACTGGCAAGTGTGTCTGCTCACTGTACCGAAGGTAGATCCAATAACACAACATGACAATGTGGATTAATCAACAGTGACAAATTCAATTAAAACTACCCGTCTTTGTTTACGCAAGACTGCTCGCTCGCTTCACTCAAGCGAGTTCACACAGGTATTCTCTCTGTGTGTATCCTCTCATTCTTTCTCTCCCCTCAACTCAGTCACTAGTGTCCCAGTGTCAGTGTTCAAGTGCAGATTAACCCTTAGCCCGGTGCGGTGACAAGTTCGGTGATGAGATTACATAAAGTCTACAGTGATTAGCTGACAGTGCACAAAGAGAGTTTAGTGTAAATGTTATGTTTGTGAGGCGAGCAGGCCAGTCTCGTGTGCAGTAGGCCCTCGATTCGCTTTGGACGTGTGTGGCCGGTGGCCGGTGCGGCAGTGGCCACCACCACCGCTGACTCGACCCGACTCCCGAAGACTGCCCATAAGCTGACATTTTTGTTATGTTTAATTGAAACTGCAAACTGCGAGCTGATTGAATATAATTCTCATAACACAACAAACAGTCGAATTCTCAAACAAGTGCCAATAAATCACCGAACAAGCTAAACAAGCGCACACCGTTGGACAGCCGACACTTGACACTTTCAAATGGGTGGTCTATTATTCGGGAAAGACGCCAATAAATGGACACACAAAGCGTCAATTAGAAACAATAACGAGCCTGGATGGTCCCTGACGACTCATGTTGACGTTTTCATTTTCACTTGTGGCCCTCAAAACGAATCGATTCTGCCTCGGCCTTTGCCAGTGATCGATTCAGCTGCAGACAAATTGTGGGCCAACCGGTGAGTGTTGCCTGCCACTGAGCACGACTCGAATGCCTCATTCCAGCTTCATGTCCTTGCTCTCTGTTTATAGCACCCCTCAGCACTGCTTTCATCTGTCAGGTTGTGTTGTGTCAACACTTGTCCCATCGTCCACCATTAGGTGGTCTGATCAGCAGCAACAGCAGCAGCAGTTGAGAAGGTACGGCAAATCGTGGGAAAGCAATGCCAACCCATTGCCACTGACACACATGCTGAGCCCTGCACCAGCCAATTAGGTGATTACGCGTAATTATCGAGCAATACTTCAATTATTTCACTTTCAAAACGGTGGCCTGTTTGCCAGTTGTTCGATGAGAGTCATATATTCATTGCTTTGCTGAAACCATGGCGCTAGAATTTCGAAAAATGCCTGCAGACACAAAGGCGCAGAAAGCGTAGGAGAAGCTGGTGGAGGACCAAAATAGCTAATTGGCAATCATGATTTTCTGAGCCTAGATGGGCCAAGTTGACTAATGGCTTTACAGTCCTTGTCGCATGTTCTCCCTCGCCCTCGTCTTCTACTAAACATTTCGTCGTGGTACATTTGCGTGTTTGCTAACAAACGCACACAAACACTGCTGGGCAGTCGAGGGCCAGATGATAAGATGAAAGTGTACCGAGTTGGCCTCAATATGAACCATATCATCGTAAAGCGTGCCCTATAAATGCGCAATGATACTTATGTTGCAACGTCCCTGCCAGCGCACTGTTCCCAATCAATTAGACATGCATCAAACTTTCAATTACCCGCCAACACGCTGAACATCAAAACTATTGAAGGCATTATCTATGATATTAAAATAATTTTAGGTTGAAAAATAAGCAATGAGAGTGCCTAGTTTACTGGCACAAATAATTCAAGTAAAAATGCCTCTTGTCTTACACAGCAAAATACCGATTAGCATTCCATTGGCTTCCACTTGATCGATTCGTTTGCCGCTAATGTCTTTCTTTAGATTATTCTCTTGGGTGTGCTTGTGAGAAGAATTTGTGAGCTACTCGCTCTTTAGCATATTACTTTTTTTAGCAGAAATATTCACAACTTGGCATTGAGTGCAAAACAAATGCAGCAACATTTGTTGATGCAAAGGTTTGTCAACTATCGTTTGTCAGACAGTGTTTGCAAAAGTTAGCCAAAAAGAAACACTTTGGTCTGAATCGAAAGATCGTTTGCATTGGTCAGAGCGTCTGTGAGGAAAGCTACGATCGTAAATGGAGTTGAGAGCAATGCTCTGCCTTAATCAGCGGCATTCACAAAGCGAGCACATTAGAGAAAAGGGGCTACCTTTTATGACAGCAGTGCCGCAGTACTGATCAGCTATCAGGGCACTTTTCGCTACATCTCACTCACTGTCCATCTTCTGTCCAGCCAGAGGGGCCAGAGGGCCAGAGTGAGCGGCCTAGTGTGTGCCATTGTTTCACTGGTAGATATTTAATAAACTAATAAGTTTGTCGCCGCGTTCTGCCACCGTCTCTCGCCACCGCTCGCTAATTGTCCCTCGCGTTTGTCGGCACAGTGCTGGCAGTGGCGAGTCCGTCTCAGGCACCAAGACGACCCGGTGCCTGGCCTAATGAGCAAGTGGGCACAGTGGCAGTGCAGCAGACGAGCAGAGACGGCCAAGAGCCTATTTGCATTGTCGCAGCCGAAACCGAAGCCAAAGCAGTTCGGATCGCTTTATGGCAGCTTTTACAGTGGCACTCGCAAACAGCACTTTATTGCTCTTCGCTGCCGAAATAAACAAGCCACCTTCGAGTGATTAGCAAATGGGTAACGAAGCCGCAAGTGCTGCCACTGGCCACAGTTTGCAAATGGACGCAATGTCATAATGATTATTAGTAGACACATGCTCGCTAATTAGATTCACAAGGAGAGGACGGCAACAGCGACTTTCATTAGACAACATTACGCGACAACTTTGTCCTGCTCAACAGCAGATGACCGCTTGATAAAAGCACACTGCCGAAAACGTGTGACTGATTGTGCCTGGCAATCACTTGAAAACTCTCCTATCAACTGACATCAATGGAAATCACTTTTGGAACAATGACATGAGGATGTCAAACTTTGCCAAAGAACATGACACATGTGTGCGCCTCTCGTGAGGAGGCAAAAATGCAATCAACTATATATGTTTGATTCTGAAAATGGACACGACCAAGTTGTTTCATTAGGGCACATTCCTTCACTTTATACGTTGAGGCAGTGGCGAATGAAGAATCAGTGAGGCGAAAGGGCCCCATCTTTTCGCTGAATGAAGCTGACAGAGCAATAGCAGAGTGATCCTGCCGCCATCGGCTGCGAGTGATCGTGTATTAATTAAAATCAAAGCAAGGCGACAGTAGTCAGGGGGACCCTTTTTGCCTTGTCGGCTCTAATCACAGGCTGTAATCAGCTTATTATTACCTCGTCAAGACGCCATTTAGTCTTATAGGCAAAGTCTAATGAGCTGCAACTGCGGATCCCCGTTGCCTCGTTAGCGGCTCGTAGCGCCTGTGCTTTATTGTCGGCAGGACTGGCTGCCCACGAGGCGTGCTTACCGTGGCTACTTGTGCCGCCGACAAGGCGTTCCCGCTCTGCCGCAAATGTAGACTACTGCTGCCGCTGCTCTTTCACAAGACTATATATTGCAGAGACGACCTCGCCGAAGCACCATTCTCGCCGCCGACAATCTACTCGACAGACACACTCTTCTGCTCGCTCTCCTGCTCGAAGATGCCTCAGCTAGCCACCGCCATGCACTCAGTTCCCCTTTCTTGTCCCCTTTACCTGGATGTGAACAATGGGGCATTTAAACCGGAGCACAACAACGTCTTCACGAAGGCACCCTTCCACGAAGCTACCGACACTTCAAAGAACATGCTTGAAATGAGCTTCCTTTACGAGAACTTTGTCAAGGGTCAAGCAAACATGTACCAGCTGAACCCGAATTTGCTTGCCGAATCATTCAACTACTACCTCAACCAGAACTGTCGGAGAAATGAGAAAAGCGTCAGTCCTAAATCTTTCAGCATCGAATCGATTCTCGGTTTCCCCAACTCTTCGCCACACTCTTCAACATCTTCAAAAGACGTCTTTTGCAATCAATTCACCCTAGCCGACTTCCCCGCTTCCAGTGGACACTGTCAGGTGTCTGCCACTGAATTTGTCACCTGTGCCGACAGCTACCGACAGCCACTGACTGGCCACGTCTTTGAGTCAGCCAAAGCCAAAGGTAAGTCCAAAGAACTTGACTACTCAATTCAAGCATTGTTACTATGCTTGAACTAGGTTAATTCATTACTTTATGAGATGCTAGCACAGAGATAGATAGAGGAGTGTGATTGCAGTACAGAGAAAAACAATCGTAAAGTGAAGCAACTTTTTTACTGCCTCGCTGAGGCCAATCTTGTCCGTCTCCTAGTGGAGTGCAGTGAAACAATAGCAAATGGCCACCGGCAGAAGAGAGGGAGAGGAAGAGGGAGATGGTGTTTTGTGACGAGCCACTTTACTGGGACCGATGTTGAGCAGATTGTCGGCGGTAAGCTGTCTTCGCTCGCGTTGTATGCTCTACTGCACTCAATGCTGATTTAATTAACGGCAAACAGTTTGCGCGTTTACAGCGAGAGCTGCCGAAGCTGGCTCGTGCAGTGCAGTGCACCATTAGCATGCTCCTGATGCCGATTACGGTGTAGCCGACTGCTCCTTATTGGCTCCTTATCTCCAGCTCACCATCGAGCCTATTGTTTGGGCTAATAAGCGTGCTGCATCAATTATTTTATTATTATTGCAGCTCGGTTGCAACTGTGTGTGCTCATCAATGGGCACGGAACAGTTTGAGCACCCAGTCACTGCCCGAGTTGTTGCAGGCTTATTATTGTTATATTGACAGCGATTAGCCTTCGTCTCGATGACTCGATGCTCGAATAAAACCGAGACAGAGACGGAGAATAGAAGAGGGCAATTGAGCTGCAGCGACTGACTACCCGCTGCCTGGTGATGTCCGTCCACCGTCAGTGCCCTGCGCCGGCAGAGCATCCCGCAACACTGCACTGCTCTCTATTCGATTATCTACGCAGGCCCTCTCTACTTGGCTGAGCAGACAGGCGAGTAGGAAATTGGCGATGAGGCGCTGAGACCAAGCGAGGACAAATTGAAATGAATCTGCCTTTGATGCGTCTAGTTAGTGCCACTAAAGCGTGAATGGAATGCTAGCGCAAATATTTCAAATATTTTCCAATCAAAGCAAGGCTTACAGCTGATGGTGCTTTCCGATGGGCAGATGAGTACCCTCTCTCCCCTCTGTCGATCATTCGATCATGTCATTGCATTAATTGATTAGAAAGTTGCCTTTACCATGCCCACAATTTGCTTCACCCGGACAAGTAACTAACTGCTAAACATGTCTCTTTATTTCTTTTTACAGAACAAATGACCAACATCGATATTGGCTCCGGAATGGCGACGGAAAAAACCTTAAGCAGTCTGAAGCACGGCTACCCTGGCCTGAACCGAAAGTCAGGAAAAGTCTTCAAGTCAAGTGCCAAACCAGTGCTGAGCAGCCAGTCAAAGTCGAAGCGCGTGCGAACTATCTTCACTCCCGAGCAGTTGGAGCGCCTGGAGACAGAGTTTGAGCGGCAGCAGTACATGGTGGGCACTGGACGGCACTACCTTGCCTCCACGCTCAATCTGACAGAGGCACAAGTCAAAGTGTGGTTCCAAAATCGACGAATCAAGTACCGAAAGCAACATCTCGATGGACAGCAATGCAAGAGTGTATCAGACGAGAATGAACTCCTGTAGGTTCATTATGCGAGTGCTTCGGTTCTCATAAAAACTCCCATATGCTAGTCTTCCAGAAATGCTCTTTTTGTAATAAATTTACTGTAAATATACTTGATAATTGTCACCATTTTGATACCAATTCATGTTCATATATCCAACGTTCACCTAGTTCAAAGATTGTAGCAATTTAGCTGACAGAAAATTTTTCGAATAAACTTTTTTCGTTTCAAAATGATTTCTGTGAAAAAAATTGTCTTTGAACAGTAGCGCCCTCACGGGGATAAAATAAATAACAAAGGCGATCATCCTTTATGCGGATTGCGTCAGTCACATGTTCAGGTGCAGATGTGCAGTGTGATTCTTGTGTTGTGTGCCTGAAATCATCCCAAAAGTTGCATTATGATTTCCAATTCTCTCAAGACGGTTCTTTCTATCAGAAGAACACTAGGTAAATGCCAAAATTAACAAGAAATGCCTTATCACTTACCGCTTATTTTGTTCCCAGGAATTGATTTCGTTCGCGTAGCCGGCAATCAGTTTGCACCAAATGCCAGATGGACTCCAAAACAGCTTTTCTCAACCAACTTGAACGATAAAAGTGATGAAGCCTCCAAGCAAGAGCCTACTTCACCGGAGAGTGAGCAAAGTGAACAGTTACAGAACCAATTGGTGGAGGAAAATAAGAAACTGTTAGACTCTGTCAAGGACCTGGATGACAAGTACAAACGAGCGCTTGCAGAAGCAGAAAACACTCGAATCAGAATGCGAAAGCAGCTGGATGATGCAAAAATTTATGCTGTTCAATCTTTTTGCAAAGATCTTCTTGAGGTGGCCGACGTGTTCAACACTGCAATTGAATCAGTTCCAAAGGACGCCGTCAAAGGCAACTCTGATTTCAAGAACCTCTTTGACGGAGTTGTAATGACCGAACAGCAGCTGCAGTCAGTTTTTCGGCGTCACGGACTCATCTCAATTAACCCCATTGGAATTAAATTTGATCCAAATGAGCACCATGCTTTATTTGAAGTGGAAGCCGAAGGGAAAGAACCAGGTACTGTCTCTGTGGTGACTAAAATTGGCTACAAATTGCATGACCGTACCATTCGTCCTGCCATGGTTGGCGTTGTCAAAGCAAGTAAATGAATCTGTTTATACTTTCATACATTATGTTGTAGGTCATTATTGTTAGCTCTTTAAAATTGCAATTATTTTTTTAATAAAAAGAAAATAAAAACAAGTAAGAAAAATAATAAAGAAAAAACTATCACAGTTGAACGAGAGAAATGAAAACAAGAGCTGGCAGCATGAGGATTATTGAGGGCAGTGAATGAGGACGACCAGTACTACTGGTTTGGGCTGTGCAAGATAAGATGACAAAAAAGATTAGAGGAGTTTATAAAAAAACATCAGACAACGCTCACCTGTTTTGCATGACTTGTAGTAAGTTTTTATCAGTTGGCCACCTTTTCTAATCGATCCAAACTCAATGAGATTGTTAAACTCCGATTGTAGTCTGAAAGCTTCGTCACCTAAAAAATGAAACAAAAAATCTTAGCTCGCTAGAGAAACTTTTAAAAAAAAGTTACCGTAAAAGTGGACGAGAATCTGAACACACTCGTTATTGTTGAGCTCCCTCGTCTTTTGCACTTCAGCAACGACCAGCCAGTCGGCGGCGTTAAGCAGCGAACGCATGTGGTGCATAAACTTGGCCACAGTGAAAGCCGGTATCTTCTGCACGACAATGTTCGACAGGAGGTGTTTGTCCAACTTGATGTTTGCACAGGCCAGGGCAGTGTTGCTATTGTTGGCCATCGATATGAGCAGGGCACGGTTGAGGACGGAGAAGTTGCCGGTGAATGGGAGATTGGTGTCGGAGTGCACCTCCCTCTCACCGCCAATCGCCAGTGGACCGTTGCGGCCAGTGAGGTCGCCCAGAGCACAGCGCAGGGCATTCGCCTGGTTGCAGTAGGCGCTGTACCGGTCGTCCACCTTCGCCAGGTACGGGTTCCAGAGGTAGCCACCCGCCAGACAGCGGACACTGTCCACGCTGTTGTACGCGTCCGCGCCCACCGAGTTCACGTACACTGACCAGCGGTGGCCGTGGGTGATCTTCTTGTGGTTGTTGCTGTCTCGGTGCTTCAGGCTCGACTCGATCCAGGCATTACTCAGACTGCCATCAAAGTACTCCACTTGGCGAAAGCGCACGTAGCCGATAATCAAGTTCCGAGGGTCGTCAAAGGAAGCGATGGCCACTATTTCTCGCGATGTTTTGCTCACCTTGGGCTTGATAGTGGCGCATGACCAGCGAAAGTTGTTGGCCTGCTTGTGGATGACCACTGATCGACCGATCACACTGTACGGTCCGAGAACGGGCAAATTAAAGTCGATAAACTCAGCCGACTTTTGCTCGAGGTCATTCAGTAGACCCATCTTTCCGCTGAGGTCGCCCGTTTCGTACTCGTCCACCGATCCCAAGCCCGGTGCCGGAATGATAGAGGTGTCGAATTCAAATGGATTGTAATGTCCGTAAACGGTATCGCTTGAACACGGGAACTCTTTGTCCAACGGCGTCGATGCCTAAAACAATCAACAGTTGTAGTTTGTCATGGTTACAAAAGGCAATCACCATTACCCTGTGTATGTGGTACCCACTGGCCATTCGATTCAGCCCTTTAATTTTCAGCTTTCCAAACGTTGCATCAAATTCACTCTCTTGGAAAAGCTCCAAAGTGCCACTAATGTTGGAGGCGATTCCCGAGCTTGTTCGCCAGTTGTCCAGCACTGCCTCAATTGGATGGTGCCGCCGAATAGTGGTGCAGGCCATTCGTTTGCCTCTCAGCCGAGGTGCATTGTCGTCCTCAATGACAACTGACCTGGCGACAATTGATTCCTAGAGCAATCAACGACATCAATTAGCATTAGTGGGAAAAGGTGACAGCAGTAGAAGAGAACGTCCTTTACCTGTCCTGAAAGTGGCAGCAGCGTGTCGGTGTAGAAGAACTGCGCACTGCTGTTGCTGTCAGAGCGGTTGTAGGAGTTGATGTGAATGCGCCTGAACTTGAGGTACAAGTCGCCCACTTGGCATCGCGCTTGATTCTCGTGCGAGCACTGCCCTTGACTGCTTCGTGCCAGTGCGAGGGAGAACGGATTGAAGACTTCGCCGGTGCTTGTGCATCGCTCTGTCCAGTTGTAGAAATCACGTCCCGTCTCGTGCAGGTGCACTCGCCAAATGTGGTTGTGCGTGGTGTTGACTGTCCAGTCGGCGTACTGCAGACTGCCGTGCACCGTAGTGTCGCCCAGTGGATCATCGTGCTGCTGGCGAAAGGTAATCTGACCAATGACCGGAAAGTAGAAGGTGGCCTTTGCGACGATCGTCCGATCAGGGTAGCCAATGTTGGCGCAGATCCACCGTGTTCCATCGTCGCTGTGAATCACTATCGACCGACCGACAATGGAGTGAACGCCAAAGAGGGGCAGGTTAAAGTCGACGTGGCTGTTGAAGTAAAAAGTTGAGATGCTCTGTTCCTCAGGCAGTGTGCCGTGCTTCCCGCTTAGATCGCCCACTTCGTACTGGTCATTGGTGCTTGCCAACGGGTTCAGCTTGTTCTCCACTGCGAATGGGTTGTGGTGTCCGCCGACTGACTCCTCGGAGCAGGGCGATGCGCCTTTCAGCTGGCGCTGAAGGAAGGGAAACTCATGCACGTGGTAGTATTTGCCGCGACCTCTGAGGTTGTCCAGTCTCACTGTGATGATTGTTGGATCAGTTCGGTAGTTTTGCTTGAAAGTAAATTCGCCCTTTACGCCGTTCATGTTGATGAATGCCTTCACCTCCTTTGGCTGCACCAGCACAATCGGGGCACACGCTAGAGGCTTTTTGCCCTCTTTATCATCAATGACCACGTACAGCTGACGAGTGCTCTCCAGATGCTCCAGAGGTAGGTTTAGATCGACGAAAAACTTTTTAGAGTAGCGATTGTTGTCCTTGCCAACGATCACTTTGCCGTGCTTCTGATTTAGGTCGCCAATCTTGCACTTGTGTTGCTCGGTTGTGGAACAGGCCGAGTCCTCAGTGTTTTCAGGGTCTAGTAGAATGTGCAGGTGGTTGCACTTGAAGTGCTTGTTATGGTCAAGTACATCAGTCACCATAATGCGCCAGTTGTTTCTGGTGCCTGTTATCTGCTCGACAGTGTTGTAGAATAGCGTCGTAAGAATGGTCGTTTCGCCTAGTTCGTTCTCGCGGAAAAGCACCGACCCAGCCACATTTTGGGTGAATCGAGCCAAGGCGATTTTACTTTTTCCATTGGTCATCACATTTGAGCATGCACGAGTGTCATTGGAAATGAGCAACAATGAGCGACCCCATATGGTTTGTGGTCCTTTTAGCTGCAACTGTGCTACGTTCGCCTCAAAGGTAATCTCCATTGAGCCAGGAGGAATCTCAATGTCTCGATGATGATTAGAGAGGGTAAACTTTGAGTTGCCTAGATCACTTGTCTGACAAGGGTTTTTCATATCAAAGGAGACAGGAAACTCGTGAATCTCCAGAGTGAAGTTTCGAGTACCATTAAGTAAGGAAGTGAGAAATATGCTAATTTGAACACTTTCAGCGTTGTTTTCTTGGGAAAATGTGACGTTGCCGCGAAGGCCGCCTGAGTCGATGGGCGCGTACAGTTGGAACGCGGCGCTCCTCGCTGACAGGGAGAGAATGGTCAAGTGTGCATATTAGAAGTGAGGTGCTAAGCCTAGTGATTGATGCTCCAGTGCTCCAGTACTGAAGTAGCCCTAGTAGGAACTGAAATATTGCCGGCTTACCTGCAAGTACAGCGAACAGAGCCAGCCAGTGGAGTTGAGGGAAGATGGCACAGAACATGGTCGAGCCGGAGAGTGGTGCTGGCCAAGAGGTGGACTGAGGCGAACATTGACAAATTTCAATCGGAAGGCATGTCCTGCTGCAACAACTCTTGGTAGACCAACTTGCGTACAAAAATAACCACAAAGCAGATGCTGCAGGAGTGACTGCTGTTGCTGTTGCTGCTGCTGTTGTTGTTGTTGCACTGCTGGATCACTGCTCAGATAGATACGACTAGCGGAACGGCGATAGGACGGCGGCAGTGCCTGTGTGCAAAAAGTTGCTGATGTGGACTTGGTAATTAGTGAGCGCAAATTAAATGCAAATGGCAGCAGCCAGCACTGGACGACACTCACGGTCAGTCAGAGTCACAGTCTAAAGAAGTAGCAGACACATTGGAAGTGACGGCGCGTGAGATGCTACATTGAACATGAGCTGCTGCTGCTGTTGCTGCCTGCGTTTGTCTACGGGAGCGAGTCGCTCCAGCTGAGACTCTGTTTCACTCATCACAAACAGACAGTCTGACTGACTGCTATCAAACAGGTTTGTTCCTCAGCTGGCCTGGCGGCGCACTTTATGCCATAATCATTTTGCCCAGTCTGTGGTGAACACTTTGAAACACACACACAGCTGGCTTCGCTGGGAGTAGTAGTGTCTCAGCGAGAGTGCCGTTCGAAGCGAGCACATGTGTGCCGCCGTGGCGCCCCGGCCAAGTGTGCTTCTGCTGCGACAAAGTGATATGTGCACAGTGAACACACAGGGCACTGACAGCTGATCGCGAATCGTCGCACTAATCCCTGCAGTGCCGGATCGGGGGTTCACTAGCCACAATAGCCGCGTCTGGGCAGCCGCTGCCACTGCGACTGCCAAAGACGAAATCAATCGATGATGCCAATCACAGTCACGACCACTTGCGGCGCAAGTTGTCGGTTCGATTCACTGCTTCGCTGACTATTTGATTAATGGTCACAGTGACTGAATGTATGCAGATTGGCTCGCAGGAATCATACACACACAGCCGAGAGAGGACAGGTAGCCCGTCGGCCATTGGAACTCTTGTCAGACGCCTGGTACGTCCTACTTTGTGTTGATGCACTAGGTGCTCAATGAGCACTGCTCATAGTGCGCCTCACTCACAGTCTCTGCCTCTGCGGCACACCCAACGGTATCGAATTGCCGTGATCAAGGGGTGGGTGACCAAGGCATCAATGATGACAATTTATAAGCAAAAGTTATAAGCGTATGCACTTGCGAGATGCAGTTTAATGTGGTGTGGATAGGATGTGTACAAATAAAGAGATGCGGTCATATGCAAATATACATATAAAAATACATTTTAAAATTTCATCTGTTGTATTGTATAAAGGGTGTTTGTATAAAGGTATACGTATGTAGAAATAAAATATATGGGTAAAATTGGCTTATTTTAACTTGACTAGTTTTGGTCTCGTTCAGTTCGGTCAACGAAAAACTGAAAGGTAGATGATCAATGACAGGTAAAGAAGTGCATTATACAAAATAAATTATGTTGAGGACAAAGGCCAAAATGACAACGGAAAAGTCAACAAATAGACGGAAAGGCGGAGATGGGGATTGAAAAAAATAGAGAGAGCGAGAGGGGGAAAGAGAAGAGAGAGTGAAAGAGAGTGGTGTGTGCATGTGCAGTGCTTGATGGGCGGATATCAAGCAAGCTTCGCGTTATTTTGCATGAACGTTTTTGGCAAACAAAACCAACTGTGTCATAAAGTTGAAATTTGGCGATATTGAGCCTCGACGCGCCTTAATATATCTAAAGAGAAAGAGAAAGAGAGAGAGAGGGGAAGAAGGAACGTACATTAGTACAGTTGCATCAGGCAGCAAGTACCCATTGAGCATTTACTCGAAAGCCTCTTCCAGCGTCCACTGCTGAGACTTGATGAGGTAGGCCAAGCACATGGCGGGTGAACGAGATATACCAGCGTGGCAATGAACCAAAATTTTGCCGTTTTCCGAAGTTGACTTCATCTTGTCTGCAGCAGGAGAAGAAACCGCATAATTAGCTGAACAATCGATACGTTTAGCAAACAACAACAAGTTTGAAGAAGGGTCGCCTACGCAAAACACGACAGTGCCGCGGCCGCTGCCGCCGGAAGCACTCTATAGCAAACACTAAAGGGAGAAAGAGACGGCTGCAGCTGCAAGAGAAATGGGAAAATATCCAAATAATATATTCCAAATGGAAAATGGTCCATTGACTGCCATAATCATAATCCTCTCCCTCTCTCTCCCACTATGGAAAATTAATAACGAAATTCCTAACCAAATGGCACTTTTAGCTAGTTTATTTAATGAAAAAGTGACGGGCAGTCAGAAACCAATCTCTCGTAAACATTATTTAAAGTTAAAACGGTTACTTTTGAAAGCTGACATTGACATTGAAATGTACTATGATTTGCTGTTTGGTATTCCTCCATTGGAGCTAGCTGTCAATTTGTAATGTGCTCCTAAGCTGAGGTGAATATTTGTGTGAGAGAGTGTGTGGATGACAGTATGCGTGCAGACACAGGCACATGTACACATACACAAACAGAAACAGACAAACAGACAGGCAGAGAACATGTAGTGGAGAGCCAAGGCTGCCAACTGCATGGGTGCAAGTGCAAATATTGAAAGTCATGTAAAGCGTCAACGATAATTGGCGGACGTTCTCTGTTGAGGATGACAGGATTGAGAAGCCAGTCAGCCCAGAGTGAGCCAGCCAGTCAACGGCAAACGTTAAAATAACCGTTTCCGGACGGCCACTAAAAGAGAGTGAGAGAGGGAGTGATGTAACCATCGAAACGGTTAGCCAACAACTTCCGGTGGGCCTGTGTGCCGTGACATGATGGCACTGTCGGCAATATATAGAAGCTGAACGACAGCAAAGTGCAATTTGCATTGCTTAAAAAATGTGAACAAATAGGCTTTTTATTGGCTACGCTTCGCTGCCGCCCGGAGAAGCCTGCTATATAGTCAATAGAGTGAAAAAGTGGTGTAAATGTACACTCTAATGTCGCCTAATAATACGCTGTCTTTAATAGCAATATATAGCCCTATTGGTAATAACAAGTGCAGGCGGAAATATCTTACCGATATAATCGAGCGCTTCATTAATCACCATGGTGATGTCATCTAACTTTGAATCTTTGATGGCTATTCGCTTGTAGGCAAATGAGTCTTCAAAGTAGTTTGGACAGTTGTGGGATACATTGAGGACTGCAGTGATGCCCAGTTTGAGAAGGGTGCTCTTTGAAGCTGCATGAGTTTCACTGCCCAGAAAGAGGTATGGCAACAGTTCGGCTGGCTCTTCGGAGTCTTCCACCCCAAAAGTGGCAGTCACATTGGGGTCATTCCTTAGAGCCAGTGGCTTGTGGGGAAGGGAAGCCTTTGACTTGAATGGCCAAGTGTAAATGTACTGGCCACTGGATCGCTTTGCCTTGTTGAACACTTGCGGCGGATTTTGCTGCAGGTTGTTGGTACACAGCGTTGGGTACTGTTTTTTGAAAGCAGTAAACCCACCTTGTTGAATGGGAATTAGGTTAGCGTGGGTTAGCAGAACAAACTGACCTGCAGGCCGTTTCATTTACCTTCTAAATGGCTGACACACTTAATTCCCGCATCTTCCAAACATGTGGCAACATACATGCCAAATGATTCCTTGGTGAGGTCTTTTTCGTCGTAGAGGACGACGCTGTAAATGTCGGCCATCATTAGGCGATCGCGAATTTCTGCATCGCTGATGATGACTTCCAAGGAAGGCTTTCCACGCCGGCTAAAACATAAAACCATAGCATATTCAACAGGGTGTAATTAAATCATCATTATCGTGTAATTTAGCACTAAGTAATCAAAAAAAAACTAATGCAAAACATACCGCAGAAATGGAGGGTAAAAGACGTTGATTGAATTGATAATGTGAGAATCATTGTGAGCGAAAAATGAACGACAATCTATGATGAGAATGTTCGGCGACTCTTTAGAGTCTGCTGAATTCATGAGTTCCAACAGTTCACGCACACCGTCACAATTGATGGCAATCATGTTTGAGTGCATGAGTCGAAGATGGTGATGAAGGAGGTGAAGGTGCAGTGGTGAACGAGTTCAGGAGAAACAAACAATAAATAAACAAATAAACAAGCCGAACCATAAAAGAATGGTGACAGGTTGACAAGAGAAGAGAGGTGTTGAGGTGTTAGAGTGTTGAAGTGGGTCGGTTTTTATTTGGCAACAGTGAGGTAGTGAGGAAGTGATGAAGAGTTCGGCGGATGCCGCCGCGATTTCAGCTAGGCATCACCGGACCATGCAACAACAAGGAGAAGAAGGCACATCTTGCGAGCTGTCTGCTACAGGCGCTGCTGCCTCAGTGGCCAAGGCCAGAAGGCGATCACGGAGCTCGCAGGAAACTGGAGACCACTCTCCACAATATTCTCAATGGAACTCAGTTTTCTCTCAATGAACGGTACGACAGTCGCAGTCTGGGCACTGCACTCGACGTACAGCACACTCAGCCGATCAGACAACACACTGAGAGAGGGAGAGAGTCGCCGTTGGCCCAACCACACACACACACACACACTTGCTGCCCGCTCATTCACAAGCCAGTGGAATCCACTGAGTGGATCCCTGCACGACGTCAACACAGCAAACAGGCACCTGAAGGCGGCGCATAGTGCAGCCTTATCAAGCGTAGAGAAGCCTTCCGGCTGATGCTGCCCACTCACTGCCAAGCTCTAGAGTAGTTGTTTGCCTGCACTCGCAGAGAAGTATGATGGTCGGACTGCCCCCGTTTGCTTGAAGATGTCTGTCCAGCTCCCCTGTTGGCTATGCAAGCAGTGCCCACTACAAATCATATCACTTGCCCATGAGTCCCTCTGACTCCAGGCAAAAAGTCAGTCTACGAAGCTCCTACCATTTTGCAAAATTCTGCTTGTTTTTATAAATTTTTTAGTGGAAATAGCGGCACGTGAACTTTTGTTTGGGTATTACTTCCAAAGTGCCACAACCGCTGAAATCACTACCGCCGGTTTACCGCTTGTTTCAAAGTGCAATGAAGTTTGAAATTAAAAGGTTTTTATTTATCTTTAGCCGGAAAAGCTTTTTGTTTTAGTTCTAAATCAAAGTTTGTAAACAAAACATGCTTTCTCCAAAGGCTTGACATTTACCGTAAGGTGCCACAAGATTTGACAGAACCGACGACTTCCGGCGCAATAATTTCGCTAGTATGTGTCCTGGTGATAATCAGCTTATTGGTGGTCGAGCTGAAACACTTCATGGCATTAGAAATGTACGTATTACTTTGTGAATTAATGAGCTTCTGTTATTGTTACGCCTACAACTACTCTTTCACCTGTTTATTGCTAAAGCGTGAGTGAGCTTTTCGTTGAATCAGGCGATTCCGGTCATGATCGAATCCTCGTTTTGCTAAACATTTCTCTTTTGAGACTTGATTGTGAAGGTAAGTTTGTGTTGCCTAAAATAACTGATAGTAAGCATTAATCTATGTTTTTCACGCAGTGACTGGCCTTGACATTCAAGATTCGAATGGACGGCACGAAGTCGGCTTCATTGAAAATACACTAAAACTTCCAATCAATAATGGGGCCGGCTGCCGATTGGAGACTCAGTTTTATATTAATAAAGTACCTGGAAACTTTCACGTATCAACGCACTCTGCTAAGCGGCAGCCAAGCGCCGTTGATATGGCTCATGTGATACACTGCCTCAAGTTTGGCGATGACCTACCAGAAATGCAGACTTTAGGTGGTTTTCAAACGCTAAACGAAAAGGATAATTCTGCAAGTTCAAGTAAGTGAAATACACCAAGTTGTTCCACTTTTCGCTCATAACTTGAATGATCTTATTTAACATTAGACTTGGAATCTCACGAGTATCACTTGAAAATTGTTCCATCCATTTTCGAGTATACCAAAACTGAACAAAGGTACTCATACCAATACACATATGCTTACAAGATGTACACGCCAGTATCTTTTGGAAACCACATTGCTGCTATTTGGTTTAGGCGAGTAAAATATTGCTGCAGAAGTAACAAATACTGACCATTTGTTCTAGGTATGACCTGACACCCATCACAATAAAATATAAAGAACGGGAAAAGCATCTCTATAGGTATGTGTTTAATCTGTGTGTACTAGTTATTGATATCTAACTTACGACTAACTTATTACCTTACTATTAGTTTTTGTACGTACATCTTTGCTGTGATAGGCGGTGTTTTTACCATTTCCGGAATAGTAAGTTCCATCATCTTTACCGCTACAAACATTTTCAGAAAAATTGAGCTGGGAAAACTCAGTTGAGAGTTGATGTGTTTTGTTTAAGCCATTGTCTAAACCACCGTACATTGTGATATTAGCTCTAGCGCACTTTTAATTTGTACTCAATTTCGATGTAAACTTTTTATTTTAATAATATAATCAAAATATTGTCTTGAGTGAAAAAAGACCAAATAATCAAAAGTACAACAAATTGGATATTCGACTAGGATGGTGGAGTGAAGTAGCAATACGAAGCGGAAATTGTGGCCACTGTTCAAATGAGGGCGTCAAAAAATTAATAACAAGTGATCAAGTTAAAAGCAAATGAGTAATCAGAGTGTGTGTGTGCCTGGCATGCATTGTCAGTAATAAAGTGTCACTCAAAAAAATAAATTTGATCTAGAACAACAGCAAAAAGAGGTACAATCAAGTGTACGATCGGGGAGAAAAAAATGTAAAAAGACAAAAATACATTGCGTTTCCGTGTTAGAGTAGAGAGAAGTGAGTTTGTGTGTGCATGTGTGAGGAGACACATTCTTTGTGTGGCTCGACGAGATTCTCTGCCCTTGGGCAGTGAAGCAGTAGGCCGAGCAGCTACGGGGAAATGCGATCTTGTTGCAAAGTGTCTCTTGCACAGTAATAAAAGACTTGAAAAATAATTTTTGTACAAATAAAAAGGCCGAATAAATCAGCTGAAACTGGAAAGTGAAAACGACCGGAGTGTAAAGTCAAATGAGAAAAGGTAAATATGCCTTGATAGACTGATAGGGTGAGTTGCAGACCCGTGGTGTATGTAAAGAGAGCTTATATCAAAATGGCCAATGCAGTCTGGTGCTACTCGCTTAGTGTGGTGAAAGATTGTAAAAGAAAGAAAGGGACATTGTCTTGAAAAAGGAAACAGCGGTTACAAAACAAATGGTTTAGTTAGGCGCTAGTAGAGGAAAAGCAGTGACCAGGAAAAAAGAAAACAACAGTGGTATTGAAAGAGGGGGCTCTTGTCTGTAAATGGGCGAAAAGCATTTCAAAAATATGACCGCTTTGGCCGGCGGAGAGGTGTCTGCCTAGGGCAGAGGGACTACTCCAGCAAAGGTGCGGTGCAGATGCCGTTATTTGGTGAGTGTTTGTGTGTGAAGGTGTGTGAAGGTGAGGCCTCGCCATGCTTTGTACGACGAGGTTTGTACTACCGTTCAGGTGCAAAGGTTTGAGAAACTGGTATAAGCTGCTTTGGGTACTGTGTGACCAGGTGAGGGAGGGAGGACAAAGACGCACATCAACAAGTAAGAGGTAAGAGGTAACAACTGCAACGACAGTGGACAGTGTTGGCCAACTGATGGCCAGGCACTGTCCGATTGCACTGTATGGAGGAAGCTATTGCCGGCTAGATGCAGTCAAATAGCTATTGCACTGTAATTGAAAGAGAACAGAAAATTCGACTAAACAGAAAAGGGTTCAAGAGGTAAATCGACAAACAAAACAAAAATGTTTGAAACGGTGCTGCAGCAACAGAAGAAAGGAAGAGAGAATAACTGCAAGGGAACTACTACCACTGAAAGCAAATGTGACTAGATTGGGGTGAAACTAGGCAAACTAGAGATGAAGATCACAATAGAAAATAAAAAGAAAAGAAGTAAAGATAACAAATTGAAGAGCTCAACAAAATTAGAAATGGGCTCGGAAAAGTGTACAAAAAGAGAAAGAGAAAGAGATACGAAAATAGATGCTTAATATATGACTACGGTAATAAATAGAAATAAATATAAAATAAATAGCAAACAAATTGAAAGAAATAAAGGTACAAAACTAAAGAAAGCAGCGTCTTAGAAAAGGAAAAGAAGAGAAAAGGAGGAGAGGGGAGAGAAGGAAACTAATAATGACAGTAAAATCATCGAAAGCTAGTCAGTGGTTAGTTAGGGTGAGAGATCATAAAGGTCAGTCGACTGGGCAACGGTGCCTGGAGGAAGACACGCGCACACTGCTTTGCTGACACTGTTCTAACACCATCGAAAGGGAATGGCCCTGGGACGCTCACCCTCCTTGATCAAGGGCTTGTGGTTCGCCCTGGCCGGGCCCGAGTGGATGTTCGCCCAGCAGCTCTCACAGTAGTACTGCAGACAGGTGATGTTCGCGCAGAAGTAGGGCGCAAACTTGCCCCCGCACCGGGTGCCCTGACACTCGTCGCAGATTTGGTCGTCGAGGATGTAGGGCTTGATCTCCACCCGTTTCTCAATGTCGGCATGTTGCAGCTGCACGAAGCGAGCACTGATGGCGGCAATGTAGCTCTGCTGGTTGGAGAAGGCAACTCTGCCGGCGCCCTTCGGGTACTTCAGCTCGGGGTCAGTGTCGATGCCGGCGTAGCAGACGCCCCCGTACAGTCGATCCATGATCATGGCAAGCTCCACTGCCTTCAGTGGTCGAGGCACGCCCCCAACGAAAACGGTCTTCCGTGGATCCAGTGGCATGGAAGCATCTAATACGTAGTCGGCGTCACTGAGCCGCCAAGGTCGAATTTGTACCTGGAGCAAGGAGTTGGCAGGTGGTGAGCTGATAGCTTTGGAATTTGAATACGGTGATGTGACTTACTGGTTTGTCTTTGATAGTTGGGCTAGAGACGCACAAGTAAAGTTTGTCATCCTCTTGAATGCACGCGTCAATCAACATTTGAACTGATGCTTCATCTTGGAAGAGTAAGAACGCATATCCTACAGAAAATCTAAGGTAAGAAATCTCTTATTTGGAAAGAAAGCATTACCTTTTGGTGGAAAGTATGATTTGCTTTCAGCTTTGTGAGGCCAATCAACGACTAGAGGACCGAAACGACGAAAGCTGGCTGTGATTTCATCCGAATCAATGTCCGGAGGCAGACCTCCCAAAAAGACTTTGGAAGAGTACCTCTCCGCCTGACCGTCAGTATCTGGAAACATACAATTGAGCAATTAACTATCTAGTTCATCACAAAACTTACTAGCTGATGCAAAGTCGGCCAGTAAGTTATCAGGATCATTGCCAGAGACAAATGGCGAATTACCTCTTCTGCGGCCAAAATTACGATTTTTAAGTTGCTTTTTGTCATCATGAACTACCGATGCTTGATAGGGCAGACCGTAGTTGTAAGCTTTAGATTTTAAAAATAACAAATTGAGTGGGTGTTAATCAGATATCAGAGCACTACCTTTATTGTCCGGTGTTGAGTTTCGCATAATTTCAAGCAGTTGCGGTTCAAGAGAGTAGCGCAATGTATCGAGTGGACTGCAATGAGCTGCTTCGATGTTTCGCTCCTGAGTTCAGTGGTAGAAGAGGAAAGTTTAAAGCGCGCCTTCTAAGCCCCGCAACTTCACTTACCTGAAGATGAAGGAGGCCATTTTCGCGCAAGTTGGCAGAATCACTGGACGATGAGGTGTTGTCGCTGCCTGCTGAGCCCAGTTCATACAGACTCGATGGAGCAGTCATGTTGGCGGGGAAGTTTTTGTAGTTGGCCATCACGGGATTACGACGGTACTTTGACGGAGAGAGTGCCGGGTTTGTGCCGGGCAGCACTCCCTGTCCCTCTGTCCCGTAGAGGGGCTTCTTCTGGTTGACCAGTGGCATGTTGTTGGCAGCGCACATCGGCGGTCGCTTCGGATGCTGGCCCTGCTGCAGGCCACCGTAGACGTTGTTTGACCAGACGTTCGCCAGTGGGTTCGAGGCGGTGACTGCGTTGTTCGCTGAGTTGATCGGCGACACGTTGGTCATCTGACTAGAGTTGAAGGTGTTTGACCAGTTGAGGTGCGACTGAATGGTGGGAGGACCCTGCTGGGCCATGAGTGGCCAGTTGAGGCCTGCTGAGTGGTTCGCTTTGCTGCCGTTGGCTCCGTAGTAGTGCGTTGAGTTGGTGGCCATGGCCAGCTGGTTCACTCCCCGAGTTGTAGACGGGAGCGCTCCTCCGGGAGAGGGTATTCCGTGCGTCGTGGTGGGGTAGTTGGCACTGCCGCCGGTGATTGCTCGCTTGACCAGAGGTTTCGGTAGCACTGAAGGGTCTGCTTAAGAGGGGAAGAGAAGGGGGCAAGGAAACATGCCGAGAAAGGGGTTATTAACTACTGGAGTTGCCTTGAAAGGTGATGTATACGCACCTGAAAATGAGATATTCTGGTTCATGATGTCGAAAGGTGTACCATTAAACTCAGGGTCGATTAGAGACCAGATTTTTTCTTGCGACTGGTGGTTCGCAGTGCTGCTCAAATGGTTGTTGGGAAAGGACAGGGCCGAAGCTTCCTCGCTCTTGAGGTTGTCGGCAGAGCTGCACTGATTAAGCGGATTTCCCTTGCTCAAACTGGAATCGAGTGCTGAGTTGTTGGTGCAATTGTTGAGCATCATTGAGGTGAACTCGTCAAATGCAACGTTTCCGGTGGCAGCGGAGCTGTCGGAAAACTGACTAGATAGAGCCGTTAGATCGGAAGAGGACTGGCCGACGAGGACCTCATCCTCAGTGCGACTCTCTTCAGCGCTGTTGAGCTGATCAGTGACGATTCCATTTTGCTGGAGCCCTTCAAGAGAATCCCTCATAGCAGGAGACTCGGCCAGGGCATTCTCGGCCGGACTGAGTGCTGTCGTACTGTCGCACTTATCAGCATCTGCTTGCATTGAGCTGAACAGACTCGGTAGTCACTTGCTGAAACACTTGCACTTGACCACTGACGAAATTCACACACTTTGGGTGGTAGAACATTTGCTCAAACACAGCTGATGATACTCATCCTTCAAAGGAAGAGAGGGAGAGAGCAAGCAATGAAGAGTGAAAGGTATAAAGTAGTGAGAGGAGAGAGAGAGAGAGAGGGAAAGAGATAGATAGAAGAGAGGGAAAGTGAAGGAAAGGACGGAGAGTGAAGCAGCGATATTGATGGGTTGCGTGGAGAGCTGGTGCACGATGGCCAGGGGAAAGTGCTCTGGTGGAGGTTGCAACTTGACCACTGATAGAGGCCAATTGATGAGGAAGTTTTGGCAATCGGTCGGGCAGAGCAGAAACAGAGCCGAATCTGTTTGCAATCCTGACTAGGCTAATCGCACAGTAATTCACTCGTGATTGCCTCCTGGATCTCCTTCTCTGCTCTCCTGTCTTCACACTGACTCTCGCTCCTTCACGTCTTCCTTCTTCTCCTCCGTCTTCTTCCTTCTCCTTTTTCCTTCTCCCTTTTCTGCTTCTTCATTTGCTACTTCTTGAATGGCCAAATATACCAGCAGCCAGAGTTGGGCGCATGAGCCAGCCGGAATCCGGCACTGTACAGCTGTCAGTCAGTCAGTTCAGTGTGTGAGCTGGGCTCTCTCTCTCTCTTTCTTTCTGTTGGCAGAGTGTCCGCTAGCAGGAGGCTGCCACCGTGTACAATACGTTCAGCGCTCTGCCTGTCTGCTATAGCACTGGAGGCACTGGCGCGATAATGGCACCGTTGAAGACTGAAGAAGGAAACCAGCGCCGACCAAAATAAAGTTGGCCAAGTGATGGCAAACGCTCAAAGACGGCGCCATCATATAGCACACCGGGAGAGTGGCTCCCAGTGCTCTTGGCGCTCTGCAAACGTCGAAGAGTAACGGGACAGCTGCAGCACAGCTGCAACCAGCACCAGCTCAGCGGTTACATAGCAGCCGAAGTTGTGTCTGTATATATGCCCTGCTGCACTTTCTCTCTGTGCCCAGTCGCTGCCGTCCACATCTCTGCTCTACTGGTTCCAGTGCGCTTAACACCAATCTCTGAAATAGGGGGAAATTGACCTACTAGTTTGGAAAATATTCGGGTTTTTGAAATCTTTAAAAAATGACAGTTTTTAATAAATTTGTAATACGTTATTAAATATTTTGAATTCAAATGAACAGTTTTCGCATTAACTAACTTTAAAATGATGTTTGAAAAGAATAAAATCTTGCTAATTCAACAGAATAGAAAATAATACTTTGAGTCTATGACAAAAAGTAATACTTTTTTNAGTTTTTAATAAATTTGTAATACGTTATTAAATATTTTGAATTCAAATGAACAGTTTTCGCATTAACTAACTTTAAAATGATGTTTGAAAAGAATAAAATCTTGCTAATTCAACAGAATAGAAAATAATACCTTGAGTCTAAGACAAAAAGTAATACTTTTTTAGAATTTAGCTCTAGATTTAAAAAGTATATAGCTCAAAAGTATTGAACTTTTCTTTAATCTAGCTGAAAGCAGTTTTCAGAAGATTGATTAGGTAGGCAGAACAGAGAACATCTCTTTATCGCCGATATGAAGAACCACCTGTACCAAGAGAAACTTTAGCTCAATAAAAAAAAGTCAGGCGTTGTCATTCGGCAATGAGCCATGAGTTAACTGATTTAATTTAACTGAGTCATAACTATTTGTAGACTTAGCTACAACGCTCACCCCTTGCGCCATTCAGAATATTGCCAAGTTTTCCAGCTAAAGAAAAAAACGGAAACATTATCATTAAATAATGTACTAAACAGTTGTTGGAAAATTTATTAAAAAAATTTCTGTCGTTTTCTGGTTCTATGAAATACTAAATTCCTAAAACTTTTTTTATCACAATTAATTAATTAGCCTGCCAGTGTATCAGTGGCGCCACCTTTCGTAAACTTTTGTCTCAGATAAGAAAATGAGTCAATCGTCATAATTTTGTTGTACTCGCATTGCATTTTGAGAGACGACGCAGAAAGTGTTGCAGTACCAGAAGGCTATTTGAAGCTGTAGCACTCCACAGCCGGCTGAGGCAGTGTCCCATCACTCATCGATAACCATGGCCGATAACCTTTTAGAAGAAGTTAAAATTATTGACAATAAAACACCTGATACAGCTCAATCTGTGCAAACACAGACCACCACGACCACCACCACCAACAAAGACGACTCGTCCGAGCCAGAGATTGAAAACAATAGTGAACATGAAAATGCGGATCAAAATGCAGCTGTTGAGGTAAACAATCAAGAAAAGCCTGAAACCCGACAATGCTGGGTCTGCCTATCGACCGATGAAGAGGACGACGAAACGACCGACTGGGTTCATCCCTGTCGATGCATAGGTTCGTCCATGTGGGTTCATCAAAATTGCCTGCAACAGTGGATCGATGAGAAGCAAAAATTCAACTCTACTCTGAGTGTGGCATGCACGCAGTGCAACACTGAGTACGTCTTAATATACACTAAACACAACGGCAAACTCTTCTTTGCTATTGACCTATGTGATAGAATCCTCTACTCGGGTAAGCTTTAATCTATCAGCATGTCAAGATTGTTTTCTAACTTCTATTCATTCGTTTAGCTTCGCCACTAGCTGCAATCACCTGCATTGTGGGCTCAATTTACTGGAGTGCCGTTTGTTATGGCGCCTTTACTGTGATGCAAGTGCTAGGTAAGTTTGTCTAATCTAGAAACATTCAGTCAGGGATTTTAATCATGTTTGTCTTGCTAGGAAAAGAAAACGGCAAGAGCCTAATAGAGCACTCTGATCCCATAATGCTCCTTGTTGGCTTACCAACGATTCCAGTTGTGCTGATTCTTTCTAAACTAATTCGCTGGGAAGATCAAATTTTAAAGCTATGGTTTAAGAATAACTTTCGATACCCTTTGCTGGGCTATGTGATGGGTAAACCGGCCGCCAAATCGCGTGAATTCACAGAGAACAATCTGCTTTCTCGGGAAACTATGGCGGATCCAATTACCATTTGCCGAAATTTCTGCAGTGCTTTAATTCTGCCTACTGCTGCGACCTTTTTTGGAGGTCTCTTTTTTGGTGACATTGAGTCGAACCTTCATCGTACACTTTTGGTAAGTGCTATACAACATTTTGTTTAGTCATTTACCATATTGCCATTTTTCTACAGGGTGGCTTAACTTTTATCATAGGAAAAGGCCTTTTGAAAATTTCGCTTCGACAGTGGCAGTACGTGCGTATATCGCATCGGAAAATATTAAATTTTGTTGACGCTAAAACATAAACTAACAATAATAAAACATTTGCATTCATCATTTTTAACATTTTTTTGTAAACACCGTGTTCAAAACAAGCACCTACGAAAAAGCTGCATTGCCAAGAGTTGAAGTTTCAAGACATTTTATTGAATAAAAACAAATCATTGCCTTTTTAAAAAGTAAAACTCATTTAAGTTGATGAGCCATAGCCACCGCCTCCAGGCGTTGACAGGTGAAAAACGTCACCTGCATGTACTTGAATCGTATTCTTTGAGCCTAGGTTTACTTTCAATCCGTCTTTGTAAATAATTAAATTCTTTCCCTTTTTCCCCGGTTTTCCACCTATAGAAATAAGCACATCCATTAATCAGTATTGAACTTTAAAACTCCATTCCCGGCCAGTACCTTTGAGCCCGTATGGACTAAAGACTCGTCGCTCGGTAAGCACTGAAAGAGTCAAAGTCTTGCGAAATAGCAATTCCCGAAGAATACCGTCTCCGCCTCTCTTTGCGCCGTCTCCACCTGTTTGGTAGTTGATTGTGAACTTTTGCACAATTACCGGGTATCGCTTCTCGAGAATTTCCACGTCAGTTATTCTGTAAAAATGTTATTTAGCAAAGAGATCTTTCCATACTGTTATTGGTTACCTTGTGTTTGTCATGTGTGTATGAACACCTGCTCGGCCATTTGTCTGAGCTGTGGCACCTAATATTTTTTTATTGGAAAGCTGTCATTGCTTATCTTATCAATGCAACACTTACCGGCACCACCAGCAACCGTTTCATAATACCCATGAGACTCATCACCTAAAGTGAATTTCGTTAGCAAGCTAAATCAGAAAAACCGTATCTGAGCTTTCTTACCCCAAGTTATATTATTCATACAGCCTTTTGAAATTGAATGTTAGTTAAAGAGATTTTCATAAATACAAAAGTATAACAAACCTTGTGACGCAGCGCAACACTCGAATGCCTAACCAAAAATGTAAAAAATAAATACAAAGTAAAGTGTAACAAGTAAAACTTGCCTTGAAAATCACATCGGTAATTCGCTGAGATGTTAGTACGTTGCCTGTAATGAAAATGTTGACTCAATATTTAAACAAATCTATAAGCATTATCCAGTAAACCTCCAACAACGGCCGCATTTTCCGACGGAGAAATGATTGAATTAGTTGGGAAGATGACCTGTATGGGAGCCAGGCAGCCATGGTTCAATGGAATATCGTGGCCAATCATACATCGAAGGCAGTAGATAATGGCTGAGTATGTCACCGATTTTGGTGCATTGCAGTTTCCATAGGTCATTTCTCCAGTGCCAGTGAAATCAAACGAAGCATTTCCGGTGATGGGATCAATTCGAATGGTCAATGCAATGACAGTTCCGTCATCCATCATGTCTTCCGCTGACAAAGTGCATGTGTTCTTTTCCTTGGCCACTCTTTTCAGCAGGTCTCGAACTTCGAGCTCTGCATTTTGCTGAATATGATTCATATACGCCTGAACCACCGAGAGACCATATGAATCAATCAACTCGTTCACCAGGTTAGCGCCCTTTAGATTGGCAGCAATTTGCGCTTTGATGTCACTCAGATTGTCGTTCAAAGCACGAGTCCCACTGCAGTTTGGATATTGTCCAGGACGCTTCAACTCATCAATTAACTCTGTCTCATTGAACACATTGTCCTTGACAAGTTGAAAGGATTTAAATTCGGCGCCTTCTTGAAAAATTGACGTCGAATTTGAAGGCATTGATCCTATTTTAATAAGAAAAAAGAGTTATCACTTGCTAACAAATCTGCTATTTGTAACTTGCCTGGAGTGAGTCCACCAATATCTAAGAAGCAAAAAATACTTTGTAGAAATGTTTAAAACTTCAAATAAATTTCCTACCTGCATGATGCCCTCTGCTTGCCACAAAAAAGATGGGACTTTTGCTTTGTTCAGTGAAAACGGGCGTAATAACGGTCAAATCAGGAAGGTGCGTTCCTGTGAAATGTTAAAAGTTCTATACAACTTGATCATAAATGAACATGCAGCAACTAACCTCCAGCACAAGGGTGATTGGTTAGATAAACGTCACCTGGCTTAATTTTGTCACCAAGTGTTTCAATTTGGTACTCTACTGCCTTGCCCATAGAACCGAGGTGAACAGGAATGTGCGGAGCATTAGAAACCAGATGACCTGAAGGTCCAAATATGGCACAGGAAAAGTCTAAACGCTCTTTGATGTTGGTCGAAACTGCAGCATGTTGCAAGCATCTACCTGAAATGGTGAAACAAAAGTTACATTTACATCATCAACAGGATTTTTGCAAAATCAAACCCATTTGTTCGGCGATGCTCATAAAGAGATGCGAGAAGATTGACAAATAAATAGGGTCTAAGTCAGTAGATAGACTTGACAAAGAAGCACTCTTTACGTCAATCAGAATATTTCCATGCTCAGTAACTTTGGCGGTGCAAAATGGCTCGACCAAGATGGTGCTGTTTGACTCGATTATCATTGCAGGTCCTGTCATCGACTGGCCGGACTTTAAAGTTTCAAACAGGTAAATAGGTGTGCTGACAAAGCCTAATGATTCAAAGAAGCACATGGTATGGCTGGAGGCTTGAGCATTTGTTTCACTAGCCACCATTTTACTGTCCGGAAGAAAAGTGTCCTCAATGAAGCCTATTCCACGCACTCGAAGGTCGTCGATTATAATAGGACGATCAGCAATGGTAAAGCCAAACTCGCGTTTGTACTGCTTCAGAAAAACATCACGGAAGTTGTTCTCGTCACAGTGAACAACTTGTCCTGCTTTGGGTGCATCTTCACAAATGGTCATTAAGGCAAAGTCAGTTCGATCGTATCGCATGTTCAAGTAAATCTCAAATTTGGTATTCTTATTTGAGAAGCCTTTACTTGAGAGTGCAGCATTGCACTTGGACACAAGCGAGTCAATTCTTGAGTTGATTTCCGTCAGATTTTGACCGTTGTAAACCATCGAACAAGGCATCATTTCTTCGTGAACAATGTCAGCCAAAGCGATACCATATGCGGAAAGAATGCCCGCATACTTGTGAATAAACACTTCTTTTATGCCAAGGGCTCGAGCAATGGCACAAGCGTGTTGCCCACCTGTGAGAGCAAACAAAGCAGTTATAAAAAATGCAAAAAAAATAAATATACAAAATCTAACCTGCTCCACCAAAACAAGCCAAAATGTGATTAGAGACATCGAATCCCTTTCCTTGCGTTATTGAACGAATTGGACGGCACATGGTCTCATTGGCAACTTTGATAAAAGTTTTATTTAATTAATTAAATTAATTAATTAATTAATACCTTTGATAAAACCAAGTGCCACTTCTTCAACTGACATTTCACTTCTGCCATTTTCTTTGCAAAAGCGGTTCACCTGATCAGTCATTTTCTGAAACTCAAACATTGTTGCTTCCTTGTCTAGGCTAAGATTTTTATCCTTTCCAAATATTTTGGGAAAGTAATCAAGGCACAAACGTCCTAGACATAAGTTTGCGTCTGTCACTGAAAGATATCCGTTGTTTCGGTAGCATACAGGTCCTGAAAAAAGTTGAATAAAAATATGGTGTTGTTAAATAATAAATCTTACCTGGAAAAGAACCCGAAGAGTCTGGTCCCACTACAAATAAACCATTCTGTCCGAATAGCCAAATATTACAAAAGGAATAATTTACAAGTTAATTTGTACCCGAAAGTAAAGACGAGATCCCCCACCAGCTGCCACAGTAGAAATGTCTGTAATGAGAATTTTATTGATTAAAAAACAGTTTGAAAATTTAAAATGTTATTACCCAATTGAGGATACTGAATGGTAACGCCAGCTGTTTTTGATTCAAACTTATGATCAAATCTGCCGTGGTACCGACTTACATCGGTAGATGTGCCACCTGATTTTATTTGAAAGCATCCATGTTAAACTTTTTGTGAAAAATGAGAGTTGACGTACCCATATCGAAGCCAATGATTGGCTTATCACTGCCAATGTCATTGGTGGTTGTCAAAGCATAGCCGATGACACCACCTGCAGGTCCACCTTTGAGTGCAAAGAAAAAAAGGAGTTACCAAAAAATGCGGGAAGGTAGATAGCAAAGATCCTACTGAGAATGCTGCGACAGCCGGTAAAGTGGTCGATTGACGTCAACCCGCCGTCACTTTGCATAAACAGCAGTTTGTTCTGATCAAAGTTATCATTAAAGTTGGCCAAAAAGCTGTCAATGTATCGTCGAATATGGGGCGTTAGGTAGGCATCGGTAATTGCCGTTGTTCCTCGCAGTACATATCGCACCATTGGCATAATTTTGCTGCTCACTGTAATGTGCTCAAACCCAATTTCCCGGGCAATCTCTTCGACGACCCTCTCATGCTCTGGAAAGGTGTAAGAGTGCACAAGGGCGACAGCCAGACTACGAATGCCCTGATCGTAAGCGCGCTTCAAATCAGCGTACACTTTGGTGCGATCCACAGCTTTCCAGACTTCAATTTTGTCATTGGAAATACCGTCCACTAGAGGAACATCCTTTTTGATTTCACATCGGTCCTGGTGCAGCACCACTCGTTCATCGACTTCTATTACTTCTTCATACAACAGAAATGGATCCTAGTATGTTTTTATATCAAATATCGGTAAATCCAATCAGCTTTATAGAAAGGGTTATTCAAATGTATTACCGAGATGTCGAGCTCAAAAATGTTTTCACGACTTTGATTGCCGATGCGAAATATTTCTAAAAAAAACACTGTCAAATACAACAGCTAGTTGTCTGTTCCATATACCTTTGAATCCTTTAGTGAGTGCGATTGCTAGTCTTTCACCTGTAGGTTTAAATTCACCTCGTAAAAAGTTTTGACACAACCAACGATGTAACCTTTATGCTCCAAAAGTGCATTTGTTGCCACTGTCGTTCCCATTCGAATAGTTTCTATTGTGGTGGACACAGAAAAAATGAAGCTCCATGGTAAACGAGCAACAAATAAATACCGATAACAGAGTCGTCCTTAGTAATGTCCTTCTTGTCGGCCGCAAGAATGCGCCTGATCGCTTCAAATGGTGCATCTGAATACTGACTCGGCTGAGAGCTCAACAGTTTCAAGGTGACAATTTTATTTCCCGGACAAACAGCGAAAACATCCGTAAAAGTGCCTAAAAATTCAGTCAACCGCTGTCAATCGTTTCTCGTTTGTTTGGGAAAACAACATTACCTCCTCGATCAATCGCTATTCTGTATGACATCGTAGCGGATTGTAACAGAGCTGATCACTGAGCAGTATTATTACAAATTCAAAACAGGATAGTCACTGACAATGACAAATTGAAAGGACACTGCTTGGTGATAAAATACTACTCTCCCTGCGGCTTAATCCGTTATCGGGCATTCAAAATATTATCGTCAGAAAAAATGTTGTGCAACGCTGCGACACATAAGCACATGCGCAAACCGAATGTTTGGGGATGGGACATCATTTCGGTGTAGTGATCTTCTTGTCGTCCGCCAACACTAATGAGGATTGCATACTGGTCAACGTCACTCTGGTCGCACCTTCATCGCACCATTCCCACAAAGCATCGCCTTTTCTCTCAAGCGAACTTTAGGCAAATTAGTTCGATTCGGTAAATGTTTTAAAATGCACCAGAGAGTGAGTCACTTTAACATTTAACTTTATGCTTTAGAAGCTCTCTAAACATGGCTGCAGACTTTGAAAAGTTTAGCGTTAAAAAACCTCGAGAAGATAAACGAGAGTATCTGGGTCTCAAGCTCGGAAATCAACTGAAGTTACTGTTGGTTAGCGATCCTGAAACGGACATCTCTGCAGCGTCACTGTCTGTGCATTGTGGATCACTGCTGGACCCGGTTTCGCTTCAAGGCTTGGCACATTACTTGGAGCATATGTGTTTTATGGGCAGTGAAAAGGTACAAGTTTGGCATTTTTATAGTTGACAAGTTTCTAAAACATTTTCCCTCCAAACAGTATCCATCAGAAAATGAGTACACCAAGGTAACATTTGTCTTAGCAACTGTGAATCATCAATCATCGTAATATTTTTTTTCAAGTTTTTGTCGCAAAACGGAGGATCGTCAAATGCTTATACGAGGTAAGTTTTTTATCTGATAGCAAATTTTATTCAACTAAAATATTTGTCCTAAACTAGTGATACCAACACTAACTTTTATTTTGACGTTGCGCCGGATCAACTTGCAGCAAGTCTCGATAGATTTGCGCAGTTTTTCATTGCTCCATTGATTTTGGAATCTTCTTCAACTCGAGAGCTGGAAGCGGTCAACTCTGAGTACTTTAAGAATGTTGATAACGATGAGTGGCGAATCCATCAAATCAGCAAAACTATTAGTGATCCAGATCACGATTATTCAAAGTTCAACATTGGTAAAATTTCTTGTCATTATATTTTCTCAATTTAAAGTTTAAATAACTTTGTAGGCAACCTCGAGACTTTGCGGGACGTTCCCAGCTCTCAGGGCATCAACACTCGCGAAGCACTGCTAAAATTTCACGACCAGTGGTATTCTTCTAATCTAATGAGTCTTTGTGTGCTTGGAAAAGGTTTCTTGATCATTTTCATATTCAATCAGCTGTAATCAATTAGCTATTCTTTGCAGAATCCATCGATGATTTGATCAAAATAGTTGTCCCACTTTTTTCAAGTATCAAAAACAAAAATGTCCCGCCCAAAATTTGGACCAAGAATCCTTATTCTGAAAAGTCTCTTACGAAGAAAATTTTTGTTGTCCCAATTAAGGATAAGCGAAACATGGATATAATTTTCAAATACACGGACGAGACAAAATACTACAAAGAAGCGGTAACTATTTTAGTTTCAGTTTGGTCTTTCATTTTAGTTAATGACTTTTTTAGCCCGGACACTATTTAGCCCATTTGATTGGCCACGAAGGCAAAGGAAGTCTCCTTTCAGAGTTGAAAGCTCGCGGCTTATGTTCATCACTGAGTGCCTACTATGACTGCGTTGACGGCTTTGGATTTTTTCACATTAGCGTCGATCTGACTGAAGATGCACTGAACCGACTGGACGAAATTCCCCAATTGGTCTTTCAATACATCAATTTGCTTAAGGTCTGAATTTGAAATGTCAGTTATTTGTTTATTTTTTTAACTTTGTTTCATTAATTAGATCGAGGGCCCGAAAGAGTACGTTTTTGAAGAAAACAAACGCCTCGGTTTTATCAAATTCAACTTTATGGAAAAGTCAAACCCTATGGACTACGTCTTGAAGCTTACATCTTCAATGCATGTAGGTTTATTTATTTTAGCAATTATTAACAATTTAAAACTTAATTTTGTTTGTTTACAGTACTTCCCATTTGAAGACATCCTTTCGGCCAATATTCTTCTTGAAAACTACAACCCGCAGTTAATTACTGAAATGCTTAGTTATCTAACACCTGAAAACTGTTCAATTGCGATCTCCTCTAAATCGTTTGAAGGCCAGACCGACTTGAAAGAAAAGTATTATGGCACCGACTACAAAATTGGTAATTTACAAACTATTTATCTTATAACCTTTTTGGATTCAACTTACTTTTTCTTTCAACTATTTTAGTCGAATTTTCAAAAGAATTTTTAGAGTCACTGCGCAATCCAGCTGTCAATGCAAATCTAAAGTTTCCTGAGCCAAATGAATTTATTCCCACGGACTTTGAAATTGTCAAAAGCGATAGTCCTGCAACTGAAACACCAACAGTCATAAGAGACTCTAAAATATTGAAGGCTTGGCACCTCAAAGACGAGACCTATCTTAAACCAAAAGTTTTTTATGGCATTCAAATCGTCAAGTAAGCTTTTAACTGGTCGTTGGCATACAATTTCCTTAATTTTTAATTGCACTTTTACTTCTCATAGCCCAATCGTCTTTGCTACGCCAGACAACACCAATGCAAACGGAATTTTCACCATTTTATTCAGAGACTTCCTTACTGAGTTTCACTATGACGCCAAACTGGCAGGGCTTAGCTTTGACCTTTTTACAACTCATTCGGGAATGAATGCAAGTAACTTTAGTGTGATGTTTTATTTTTTTATAATGATAAGTTTTTTCTAAATAGCTGGAGTTTTTTGGCTACAATCACAAGATGCACGTCTTTGTTGAGCGCGTTTTTGAAAAACTTGTCAATTATGAAATTTGTCCTAAGCGTTTTGAAATTTTGAAAGAAAAGTACGGGCGAATGCTCAAAAACTACAAAACCCGTCCTCTGTATACGCTGACAGGATATTATTTGAATTTGATAACATCCGTAAGTATCTTTTACTTGTCATTCTGTTGTCTTTACATTGCTAATATCAAAAATGTCTCAGGAACTGAGCTGGTCGTACGAAGAATTAATGGCGTCTCTGGACAACTTGACTATTGAGTCAGTTAACAACTTGACCAAGTCTTTCTTTTCTACTTTTTACGTCGAGACTTTTATTCACGGCAACATCAACAAGGAAGGCGCACTGCAACTTTGCAACTTGATGGATACAAAGCTTATTGGACATTACAAAACAATTCCTTTGGCCAACCATCCTCACAGCCAACTAAGAGAAATTGGTAATATTAAAAACTTTAAAAAGCCAATTTTTAATCATTTTTATTTTCTAGCTCTTGAACCTGGCTCTTCTTATCGTTTCGAAACTGCCATTGATATTCAAAAGCCGAAAGTGATCCATACTTACTTTCAAGTGAGCTTCGACAATTTGGAAGAGACTGCCCGCCTTCAGTTGATTTCTCAATTGATCCATGAGTCATTTTTTGACATTCTAAGGTAAAAAGTTTTTGTACTTGCAATGGTAACAACTTTGCTAAATATGATCTGTTTGCAGAACTAAAGAGCAACTTGGATACGTCGTTTTCAGCAAAATTCAAAGCTCGTGTGGAGTTAGTGGAGTGGCTTTTGTAAGTTTTTAACCGGTTCATGTGAAGCTTTCTTCCGACACTCATTTGTATTACAGATTATTCAATCGGAGTACAGCACTTCTTATTTAGACGGCCGCATCGAAGCTTATATTGCTTGGGCAGAGGTTTGTCATCTTTGTTTTTTATAAATGATAGACTCATTAAACTAATGTATTTATTCTTTAGAAATATATTGAGAAGATGGACGACAAGGAATTTGAGGTATTGTGCAATATAAGTTTTAAATGAATATTCACGTAAACTTGCGACTTTTTTTGTTAATTTAGGCCGAAAAGAATTCTCTGATTACCAAATTGTTAAAGAAGAAGAAGAAACTTATTAATCTCTCGGTGCAATACTGGTCTGAAATTACTCGCCACGAAAACTTTTTTAAGCGAAGCGAAGCTATTGCTGATGCAGTTAAAAAGCTAAACAAGACGGAGATTCTACAGTTTTTCAAGTTGCACTTGTCACACGAATCAGCACAGCGAAAGAAGCTTTCAGTTCATATTGTTAAAAGCAATCCAGAACAAAATGCGCTAACTCCAACTTACTCCGCCGAAAACGCAGTGGAGCTGTTGCCAAACGTCCAAGAAAATCCTGGTAAAAGCTCGGTTTTAATTGAAGATTACGCAGAGTTCAAGAAACGAAAGCCTCTCTATCCAATCCCTCAACCGAAAATGTAAATATTTTACAATTATTTATTTGCATGATAAAGGACTTGATACTTTATAATACTTGAAAAATAAACAATTATTGTCATGGCTTTATTTGAAATCGTTTAGTTGGACAAAGTTTGGTTTCTTTCATAGTTTAATCACCTTTTTGCACTAACACTATTTTTTAGTAAGGCTTTCCCATTGTTTTTTGTTAGACTCGATACCGTTCAGGAAGGGCGCCAATCTTGGCCAAAACTCAAAAAGAAGCTGCCATTGAAAACGAGAGTTATAAAATAACAGGTTTAGAAATATGAGATGTTAACCTGATAAAGCGGCAACCCGATGTGCTCAATAAACCCGACTTGCATTGACGGCAGTTCGTCTTTGCGATTCCGATCCATCATTGGATTCGGAGTTTGCTGCATGCTTTTCTCAAGGTCCCCTTGTTCGAAAAATTCGGAAGCCTGTAAATGAATGTGTTTTTATTCTCATATCAGTGTTGGCCACTTGCAAAACATCTTACCACCATCTCTGCAACTCGCTTTTGAACACGCCAAGGCTTGCAAATTGCCGAGAGGTCGCAGGCGGTCATCATCATCGCCCGAATAAGATCCCGCTTATGCGGATCTTTCCACTCTTTTTCACCTGATCTCACTAGTTCGGCAAATTTATCCTTTTTCCTAAAAAAAACATTTTTATCAGTTGAATTCAAATGAGAATTAATATGCTTTACTTGAAGTATTGCTCCAAATCGGTTGACAAAATGCACTGCTCGATTATTTTGATTATCTCCTTGTATTCAGGTCCAGTAAGGGACTTTAAAATGTTGTTGCCTTCTGCCTTGAGAATTAGCTGGCACTGAAGAAGAAATGATGGCAATGAAAATTCTCAGTTCATCTCAGTAAATTGGCTCACGTGATAAAAATGATGATTTTCCATGATACTAGAGCTGTATAAAGTGGCAAGTGGAGAACCGCTTCTATGAAAAGTCATTGATAAAATATTTAAATTGACTGCTCTTAAAAAATAATACTTGGTTTGAAAAGAGTTGTTGGTTCCTCGATGATCTAATTTTAAACAGAAGTTCAAAGTTTAACGCAAAAAACTTGTAAAAGTTTTTTTATGTCAGAAATTGGCTTTACCCAAGTCATGGCACATTGAAGCGACAATTAAGGCTAATTGCTCCTGTGGCGTCATAAGTTCATTCAAACCATATGTCTGCACAATTAATACATTATTTAACAATTTCAGTAGTTCTTGTACCAATCAGTTACCGTTAGCATTATGAACATTGATTGGCTAACATTAAGTGCATGACGCCAGTTGTGGTACAGAACCTATTAAAACAACTGCATTAAAGTTTAATTCAACGTCAAAACGACGCTTTGTACCTGTCTGTAATTCTTTTTTATGCTCAGTGTCCATCTGCACAGGACCTGCAAACAAAAGTTAATTGAGAATAAAAATCAAACAACTTTTATAACGTCGAACCATATAGGAAATGCGGAATTGGTTTAAAAAGTTCAATTCAGTGAACATTCGTATAGTTGCTTGACAAGTCTCCTTGTCGCTGAGAACTAAATCGTCAAACTGAAAACTGTAAATGTTGTACGTCTCTGCACTGGCCACCGGTGTATTCTATGGACATTGTTAGTGAATGTGATAACGAACAGGCTAACAAACACTAATTACCATAAATTCCACCGTCTCTTCAATGGTAGAGGAGGCGTGATATGCAAGAACTTCTAAGGCAACTTTTTGACGAGCATTCAACTTGAGTGCCCTTTCGTACATCATACAATTGTGGATTCCCAAGCCAATGAAAATTGAAAATCCCTGCAAAAAAGTATCAACAAATAGAAAAAGTTTTTAAAGTGAAAATATTGTACAGCAACTACCTCTAGAGTTCCAATGTCTACATCATTAAATGTTTCCTTCTGCGTTTTGATAAGTTGGGCCACTCCAAGAACCTTTTTATGGTCATTAAGAATGGGCACTGACAAAATAGAGTCAGAGTAGACGCCATCCTGTAACCAAGTAATATTTTTAAAGGAACACAAGTGANAGTATCAACAAATAGAAAAAGTTTTTAAATTGAAAATATTGTACAGCAACTACCTCTAGAGTTCCAATGTCCACATCATTAAATGTTTCCTTCTGCGTTTTGATAAGTTGGGCCACTCCAAGAACCTTTTTATGGTCATTAAGAATGGGCACTGACAAAATAGAGTCAGAGTAGACGCCATCCTGTAACCAAGTAATATTTTTAAAGGAACACAAGTGAGGGACACAGCACTCTCAATTCACTATACCAGAATACTTGTTTTGAAATTGTTTCCAAAAGAGTTGTTCAAGTTGAGTGTCTACAAATGAAGACTGATAATGATTGATACACTAGATGAAATGCAATAAACCAAACCTTTCCCGTCAAAGCCACTTGCCGAGCATATTCTACATAGTCTGTGTCTGTTTCAGAATTTATTCTGCATTTGAAAGTAAGATAAGAGTAAACTTTCAGTACAACTTAAGTGCAAGCGTGAAAGAGAACTTACTCAATCATCTGAACATCGTCGCTTTCGTTTTTTAGCTCAAATATTGCTTTGAAAGTGTACTGCATGGAGGATAATAATGACAAAAGCTGTTAAAGAACCCAAAAACTGCATTCTTACCTTTGCATCAACAGCATCGTGCTCGTTGTCTACCAGATAAACACGACAAACTTCACAATCAAGCATGCCTTTTGCTTTCACCATAATCTTGTTAATAAGAACATCAAGAGATGAAGTGTCTTCAAAAATGGTTCGTGCCAAACTAAGCAAAAGCTGTTCAGAAGATGTAGTATGCTTAATAAAAACAATATTTAACAAAATAAGACTTACTTGATTTCTTTTGTACTCAAGAACTGACATTTCAAAAAGTTGTGCATTTTGAATGCCAATGCCACAAAAGGTGAGGTACTTTTGAAAAACCTAAACAGGTAAAGTTAGTACGGCTGTCAATTTTTAGTGAGTGGTTTACCTCTTCGTCTTCTTTGGTAAATTTTTGATCATCACTCAACTTGTTGATGCACTCAGCCACTCCAATGACGTCTCCTCCAAAGTTGACAATTGGCTGACACATCTGCATCAATAATCATGGTGGTCAAGACTTTGATAACCAAGTGAGTCAACTTACAAGTGATTTAGTGTGATAGCCCGTGCGCGAGTCGATGTCTTTATTGAAGCGAGAATCCTAAAATACAAACACAGTACTAAAGCATGTAAGAAATAAGATGTTTTCTATTCACCTCATAAGCGTCTTCAATGTTGACGTTTTGCTTAGACAGCGCCACGTGTCCAACGATACCTGTACCAAAAGGCATCGGCGGAATCTTTTTGTACTCTTCCGCAGCCATCAAGGCGTCTTCAATGAGGCATTCCGGTGTGACATCGAAAAGCTGTGCTATGAGGAAACGACGATCACGGCTGCCCTTGGCAAGGAACAGTGACGCCCTATCACTGTTGGTGAGTATGCAAACGTTGACTAGAATCTTATGACACAGAGTGTCAATATCAAGTTCGTTGGTTATGTCACTGATAAGTTCCATGAATAGCTCGTGTTCGTTCATGCCTTGAAATTTTTCCTTAAGTTGCTCACGCGACAGTTGCTCTCCTGTAGAAGAAGAAGAAGAAATAAAAGGGCCTTAGATTGTTCATTGATGTTTTTTGGTTAGAATACTTGATTTTTTCTTCATCGAGCCTCGAGAGACAATGTCATGGAACAGCTCCAGCGTAATCGAGTTGCGGCCATCGCGGGCAATCTGCGCGTAAGCAGATGCGGTCAACTGTTCATCATCATCATCATCATGACGCTCATCCTCTAGAAGGTTGCTCACACTGAGGAAGATGGCATTGGGGTTGTAAGTCCCATTGGAAGTGACCGCACTTGACTCGGCCGTTGACAGTTTAACCTTGGCGCTGTTAGAAAGTGGCTGACGCCGAAAGTTGAACCACTCTTGAATGAACTCTTTCGGAGCGTTCTGAACAAACCACGCTTTGCTGAAGAGGCGATTATTTCTCAAATACTCAACCATCGCCTGCTCATCAATCTCCTCGGCCATTTTTTGAGCTGATGTTGAGCTGAGTCGTTCAGTGATGAAAGATGATCTAGATGGTCAACAGAAATGGCTTACTGTGAAAAAGAGATAATTTTGCAAAGAAAGGGAAAGGGAAAGAGCAACTTGACACACAAAAAGAAATGCAGTGAAGAGCAACCACATGATATGGCGGCTGACTGCACGGGCGGCAAATGCATTTGAGCTGTGGGCACAGTGTCTGCAGGAGACAGGCCTGGTTGACAGGCAAATATTAATTTGATCTAATCCTAGCGGTGAAGGAAGAGCTAATTCGCTCACAAATAGAATCGTGTGACGAGCTCATTTGATGGATGAAGAGAGAGGCAAATTAATTTCCGAGTCCTTAGTGATAATTAATCTAATCTAATTACTACTGCTTATATTTAATCATAATTATTCACTATTAATAAGTGCCTGTTTGCTTTACCTACGGTCCAATTACTGAGAGACAATTCCCGCCCAATGCAAACACTGCTGCCAATACAAACTACCTAATGGAGACATTGCATTGGCCGGTGGTAATGAGAGCTGGCACAGTGCGTACTGCACAACTCAATCGATTACTCAGGCCCTCCTTCTGCGGTTGCTACAACTCCCCACTATCTAAGGCTAAGATCCAAGACTGAAAAAGGTGTAGAAGTAGTACTGAGAAGTGGACTTCAACTTGATTGTAACTGAGACTAGCAACTACCTTGTGAAAGGCCAATTGCCCCTAGGCTCAAGAAGGGACGGGGATTAGAGGCAATTAAAAGTTCACTAATAGAAGTACTCATTTCGTGATTGAGCTCATTAGAGCTCATCGAGGCAAAGTAATTAAATATAAGCAAATATTATACTAATGCATGTCATTCTATCATGCGATCAGGCTACTATTAATGTCAGTGGAGGCCCTCAATTTAGCACTGGGCTCGGTTGACACCAACGTTTGCAGATCATTACCAGCGGTAGACGGATTATACCGGGAGAGCAAACAGTGTAAATAGCAAAGTGCACCGGGAAGACACGTCGGTAAAGGAGGTTGACAGGGAGTGATAGTTAAGGCTTTCGCTCACTTTTGTCCTTGCATCAATTCAATGGCAGCAGTGGTGGCAGGCAAATTAGAGGGCATGTCAAGCGGACCGGTGTGTTTGCGGCAGCTATAGCTATAGCTCACATCGCTATGGTAACTTTCCTCGGAAAGAAGGCAATCACACGCGCTTGCTATTGTCAGTCTTCTCATCACAAAATCGCATCATCGTCACTTAATTTGTTCAGTAATGTCCATTCCGTACAGTCAGGGGAGCTCGATCCCAGCGAACCTGAGTGTGTCCCTCAGTCTAAACGCCCTATCACATGCAAAGCTTCAAACGACTGATTACCTGGTGGTTCATGACTCGGAGAAGGTGTCTTGCATTTCAATGCAGGGAAGCAGTGTACTCTCCAGTAAGGAGATCACTTTTGAAGCGGCAAACGATGACAATCGCAATTTTATTCAAATCGTAATCATTTGTGCATTTTCAGAGCATCAACGCTCAAATTGACTGTTTCACTTTTTAGGCTAAACTTTTGCTGCTTCACTCCAAGATCTTCTTGGTGGTCGCGTCAAGTAAAACAGTCAAGGTAGGACAAGATACAAGTTACGTTCTCTTATGTATCTTTTAATAGGTGTACGTGGAGTCGCATGGTTTACAAGAAGTCTTCACTTACGGTCTTTCTTCTGAAAACAAACTTGGTCAAATAGTGCACAGTGTTCATTCACTGAGCAAATCCGTCTTTGCTGTGGCCACCGAGTCTAAAGTTCACATCTTCGCAGTCGGCCGAGGTGCCAGCATCAAGGTGAAAGATGTCCAGCATGAGTTCAAGTCAAAAGTCAGGTAATATCGAGTGGTAATGCATTTCAGTACTCATTGGAAAAAGAACACACATTTTTAGATCGGTGATTCACGTCTTCTTTTCAAACGGTAATGGCACGTGCGCCGTTGTTGAAGGTCTGCCCAGCTCTGGCAATGGTCTGATCACAGTGTCAAAGTTTGAGGAGAGCAAGAGCACCTTTTCAGAGGCGAAGCAGATTGCCGTACATCTAAAGTAAGTTCACTTAAATGAGCATCACAGAGTGGTCAAATAACGCGCCATTCGCCACCGACAGCACCAAAGCCACTGGTCTGCAGCTGTACAACAGTCTGATTGTGCTGGTTACCATCTCCGGCCAGATTCAGCTGATCAGCAGCCTGAGTGGCCTGTTGTTGTGTGAAATACACGCGCATGTCCGCTGTATTGGGGCATTCGACATAGCACCCAAAACTGGACTGGTATGTTAGCTGTTGCTGTGTGACGAGGGCCCTGCCAACAACGGCGCTAACTTCATTCATTTCCTCCATTGTTCCAGCTTGTCACCGTTTCAGAAGACAGTCACCTGAGAGTGTTCAGAATCGAAGAGACTGAAGGTGATCAATGCAAGGTGAGCCTCTCGAGCTGTGGAAACTCTGATAAAATGACTCTATTTTTTAATACCGCAGGTGGAACATGTGTTTCAAACCAATGTAACCAATGAAATGATTTGCGGAGTGAAATTTCTAAATGCCGCAGGAAGTAAACTGGCGCTTTGCACCTATGAATCGTCTCAGATTAAAGTGTTTGAGCAGTTGTAGACAATTAATTTTACTTAATTTAACATTCACAAAAAATATGAGATCTGATGGTTACACCTTGATAAATAATTAGCAATAAAAATCATAGTTCATCTTTGACATTCAAATTGACGAGTAGTTTTGCTATGGAGTCTGAAATAAAATCGTCAGAGGAAAATAATTGTGACAACTTTGATAAAGCTTTTACAAAACTCTTATTAGAGTGAAAGTTGCAAACGTTGGAAAGACCATTCAGCGAGTCGATCATTGTTCCAAGAAATGATCGGTCCAGTTCTCGATCGTCAATTACTGTTTCAATAAGCTTTTGGCATACAGCCGAATTTTTCAGTGCCGCCTCGAACTGAGCCTGTCCGTATATTTCCTGTTTGTCGACATTTTCCTTTACCGAAGATATTTCAATGGCAATGTCACTAAGAAAGGCAATGGCTCGAGTGACTAAATATCTGTCTTTTGATAAAAGAGTCTCCAAGATGTCAAGGCCGTTGAAAGAGTGAAAAAGAGCTCTCTGTGCCAAGGGAAAATTGCGCACCAGTGCACCGAGAACAAAAAGGCTTTTCTTTTCAAGTTGAACTTCCTTTGCATTGTTGAGCAGCACTACAATCTGTCTTAGAAAGTCAAGCTTGAAGAGTTCAGACTTCAATTGGATATTACCTTGAATTGAGGCGCCAATAACACTGAGAATTCCAAGTTTTATATCCAAACTGTTAGTTTGATTTAAATCTTTCAGCATTATGCTTAGACCACCTGATTGAAAGAAGTCGTTAGCTAAATCAATTGAGTGGACAAAATATTCAATATCAGATAAATGAGAAAGCTTGTTCTTCTCATCCTTCTCATTAATATATCGACTCATAGCCTCTTCAAGAAGGGCGCTTTCAGATGTTACTTTTACACCAATATCTTTGATTTCTTGAATATTCTTGTACTTGATGCTATTGCTTTTGCTGATATCTTTAAAATCATTTAATCTCTTTAAGCTTTCTGCGCTGGCTTCAGCCGCTTGTTTTTCAACAATCTGGTAATTTGAAGTGATTCGAGAGTGGACATCCACTTCAGACGAACTTTCTAGAAGTTTTGCTTCCTTTTTTCCAGTTTCCAGATTAATGCGCACATGAAGTCCTTTAGGAAGAACATAATTGCCTATTTCTCGCCATTCATTAGTAGCTTTAAAAATTTTTGTAGGCACATTTTCATCTTCGCTACCTCCGGAGCATGATTGGTCTCTACTCGATTCATCTTCGACAGATATCAGCTCATTAGTGTCGGTGAAAGAAAACAGTGGCACGTATGCAAAGCACAAGATGACAATAAAAAACAACTTCATTTTTAGGTATTTTAGCCAATTGCTATTATGTTCAAGCAATCAGTTTGAGTTGAAAGTGAAACAGTTGACATCAAAAGATGAAATGTAAGAACAAAAAAGTTTTGCTAAAAGTGAAACAGTACGTGTTTTTATTTCTTGCGGCGTCTGTGACGTCTTCTGTGTGAGGGCTTTTGTTTTTGTGTTTTAAATTTTTCTGACCTCTTGCATCATTCCGTGTCACTAAGATTTATTTGAAGCTTAAAATCTTTTGAGGTGCTGTCGTCTTGAAGAAGATACCTCCAATTGCGTAAGAAATTTAAAACTTGACGATTAATTTAAATTATTTACATTTATTTTATCCTTAGAAATCATGTCTTTTCGCCGTGATGCTATTTCTTTTTACAAGTCTGCGTTACGGGTTACCCGAAACTGGAAAGTCGACGCCGTTGATAAATGCAATACTAAAGCTGAACAACAGTTTCTTAAATCCGCTTTAAAAGAAGAAATGAAAACGATGAAGTCTCTCTCAAGCGACCAAGAGCGCTATGAGCGACTTATGAAAGTGTCCAACTGGCTAGACACCTGCGTTCACTACCAAATCCCTTATTCCCGACCTTATCATTTTCAGAGTGGTGTTTCTATGAAGCAAGCTCGATCAAAAGTGCAGTGATTGTCGGAAATGCTAAAACGAAATCTGATTAGAAATGAAATGTTACGACCTTTCTGAAAATTTATTGTACATATGTAATTGTTTTCTGTTATACGGAATGTCTGTTGCCTTGGTTACCAAATAGGTTACCAGAATTAAATTTTGAGCGTAGCTTACAAACAAACAATTTATTTGGTTTATTGGTTATTAAGATTTCTCTTATTATAATTTTGCAACAATGAGAACCGGTGCTCTTTGGGTTGATCAAATCAAAGACCGAGATGGCTCTAGTATTTGGTAAGTGTTGGCGTGCAGAACGCACAAGTGGCGAAAGTGGTGAAAGTGTAAACTGAATATTCTCTGTAGCATTTACGATCTGGAATTCAGCTCAGACGGCCACTTTTTAATGGTGGCTGCTGATAATAAAATTTACGTTTACGACATAACCGATGGATCACTTATACAAACACTCAAAGGACACAAAGACACAGTTCTCTGTCTTTCATATGCGCAGGATGGCAAAAGATTTGCATCCGGCTCTGCAGATAAGCAGGTCATCATTTGGACTTCCAAAATGGAAGGCATTCTCAAGTTTTCGTAAGAGTCTTTTTGATAGATGATTCAGTTTAACTTTCTCTCTTTTCTAACTTCCTTACTAGCCACAATGATGCCATAAGAAGCCTGCAGTACAATCCAAAGTCGCATCAACTGCTGAGTTGCACTTCCTCTGACTTTGGTCTTTGGTCACCCGAGCAGAAAACGGTGACTAAAAACAAGGCGACAGGGCAGATCAATTGCTGTGCATGGAATGAAGACGGTACTTTTTTTGTCCTGGGGCTAAACTCTGGCGTTGTGTCCATTCGTTTTAAGGTAATTCTTGATGTTAACAGAAATTTTTTTAGTTCAACATGTCATTGTCCTTTTATTTTCAGTCGGGCGATGAAAAAATGAAGTTTGACCGAAATGGTGCAGTTTGGGGATGCTTCTTCTTCAAAAACAAAGACAATATGGACATGATAGCTTTGGCTGATTGGTCAAGAACACTGTCATTCTTTGACGCAAATGGTCTTCAGGTTAGAAATATTTGTTATAACTTTATTTAGTTGTTTCTAAATTGGTTAATCTCAAAACAGGTTCAAAATGATCGAAACCTTACATTTGATCCACTCTTTATGTCTCAGTTTGAAAACACTCCCGATAACTCCTTTATTCTTGTTGGCGGCTCTAACAAGAAGGTGATGCTGTTTACCTTGGAGGGATCTTATCTTGATACAATTTCAACGCAAAACAGTTGGGTTTGGGCTTGCAAGACACATCAAAACAAAATGGCTATCGGTTGTCAGGATGGCAGTTTGTCAGTTCAAGAACTTTCACTGATGACTGTCCATTCTCTATACAAAGATCGTTACGCCTGTCGTGATACAAATTGTACCGATATACTTATTCAGCATTTGCTTACGGGAGAAAAAGGTTTGCCTTTTGTCTTTGCTTGAATGATTTGACTACTTAATGATCATTTACCAGTTCGCATCAAATGTCGCGATTTGGTTAAGAAAATTGCCGTTTACGAAAAAACTTTGGCCGTAAGATTGCTCTCTAAACTGTATTGCGTCAATTATATTAATTTAAAATTTCTTACAGATTCAATTGCCTGAAAGGGTTATTCTGTACGAGTTAAGTGATGACTCTGGTACCACTGATATGAACTACAAAGTGAAAGAGAAGATCAGCATTAAGATTGAATGTTCCCTTTTGGTGCTGTGTTCGTCAAACTTGATCCTCTGTCAAGAGAAGCGACTGCAGTCATTGTCCTTTTCAGGACAGCTAGAAAAAGAGTGGCTATTTGAATCACCCATTCGGTACATAAAGACAATCGGCGGAGTGCCACGACATGAAAGCCTTTTGGTTGGTCTAAAGAATGGACAAATTCAGAGTATCTTTCTTCACAACATGTTTCAAATCGACGTTATAAGGCTCTCTCATTCTATTCGGTGTATTGATCTAAACTCGAAGCACCAGAAAATTGCCGTAATTGATGAAAAGAATAAGTGCTTCATCTATGACTTGTCAACTAAGCAGCAACTGTTTGAGGTGAGCACAACAAGGGCAACTTCCCAACTGCTTATAGCTTCCTTTTTGTTACATTTCTTAGGAGTCTAACGTCACCAGCATTGCTTGGAATGCTAATTTTGAGGACTTGCTTTGCATCGCCGGTCCTGGTTTTATTGGCGTAAAGGCCGAACATTTGCCCATTCAAATAGTCAACAACCAGGCAAGCAACTTGTGAAGTAGTTTCGTTTACTAATTTCGTTTTTAATTTTACAGTTCTCTAACAAGGTATTTTTGCTATTCAGTAAAACACACAAAGACAAATCTAACAATGTATCATGTAGACATTTGTCATTGGTTACTCAGGGTGCAAGATATTCACATTGCAGCAGAACACGATCATCACACAGAAGATATCGTACTCAAAGCTGCTCTTTCAGTACCTGGAAAGAGACATGATCAAGTAAGGCGTCACTGCTGGTAATGTCTCTGCCAGAGCGGTAATTGTCATGTTTTTCTCTCCTTCTCTCTCTCTCTCCTTTCACACCACCACTCGATTGTCTTGCCTGATTGTCTTCAAACTCGACAACTCTCCCGACGACCATTCTGGTGAATGCAATCGAATGTAACTAATGAACTTCAGTGCAGCGTATCGTATCGCCTGTCTCAATGTGACCTACGAAGACTGGCAGGCACTGGCCAATCTGGCACTGAGCAAGTCCAATCTGGATGTTGCTCGCAAGTGCCTAATCATTCTCGCGGACTGGCATTATCTTGACTTGATTGAGGCACACCGACAGACGGTCGGATCGGCCGCCTCTACTGAGCAGAATGAGCAGATTTTTCTGGCTAAATTCTACGCTTACCGCGGACTCTTTGCAGAGGCTGCTAAACTATACAAGAAAGTCAAAGCTGACCACTTGGCTGTGGAAATGTTTAGTGACTTGCAAATGTACGACCAGGCAAATGATTACCGGGTGCAGAGTAGTCAAATAACCGCAGTGGACTCTAAAATTTCAACCACCGAAGAAACGAGAAAGAAATCACTGGGCAACCTAGGTGATCTCCAGACGATGAGTCAGCTGTACATTACCAATGGAGAGTACAACAAGGCATTTCAGTTTATTGCAGCAAGCAATATTGACAGGTTTGTGCAGATGACGACACTTTACCTTGGCTTGGGGCACACTGAATCTAAAACTTTTGAATCATTAGTATAATGAAGTTTGTGGGACAGTTAAACAAGGGAGAAACTAAGATGCTTTCGCTGATTGCTGATTATTTCATTTCAAAAGATGACTTTTTTCACGCAATTGAAGTTTATCAAAAAATGGGCGATTACAAAAATTTAGCACTGGTGTATATTCGAACTAATCAGTGGGACGATGTGAGTTTTTTACTTATTTTTCTTTACCACATTAACTTGTACATTATGCTTTTGCTATAGGCGTTTAAAATTGCTCATGATTTTCCAAATCTAAAGTCTGACGTCTACTTGCCATATGCTTTGTGGCTGGCGGAGAATGAGCGATTTATTGAAGCACAACAAGGTTAGTTTGCAGCTAAAAAACGCAACAGGTACATTGTTCAGCTAATGGCAAGCATTGCTTGTATTTTCTCCTGCACACAGCATTTCTTGAAGCTGGTCAGAGAAGCGAGTCATACAATGTTCTCAATCAGCTTCTATTGAACTCAGTCAATGAGAATCGATTCAATGATGCTGCCTATTATTCTTGGCTGTTGGCCAATTATTTTAGCCAACTGTCCAGTGCTCAGGTGGCAGAGGTCGATGGCAATGAAAGCAGTGGAGAAGATTTGCGCTCCAAGGCGGAAAGTCTTTACCGACAGGCTGATATATACTACACCTATCATCCTATTTATAAATACATTGTAAGTAGCCTTTGATCTAACCTTACAGATAATTGTTAACACAAACTATTTTTTTCTTACCAACACCTTAAGGAAGAACCATTTACCTCTGTCTTTGTAGACGTTCTTTTCAACTCAGCGTTGTTTTTATTCCACTACATGGACGATGAGTTTCCTGTTGGAGTTTCTAAAGTGTATGGAAATGTTTATGGTAGTTTTTTCTTGATTAATAGATAGACTATCACTTTGTGCTTAGGAATATTCTCTTTGCATTGACTAAGTTGGGCAAAAACCTGGGCCACTACAAGTTAGTCAGAATTGCTTACAAACGACTACAAGCTCTACGGCTGCCTAATCAGTTGGATGAACTCATTGAGATTGGCAGTATTGAAATAAGAACAAAACCTTTTATTGACGCCGAGGTAGGCAAAGTTGTCAGTGAATTCGTTCTCATTATCTAAGTTATCCACTAAAGGACTTGGCTTCATTCTGTTATCGCTGCTCTGCGACCAACTCCTTGTTCTCAAGCAAGCTGAACAAGTGCATCAACTGTCAGCAGCCATTCAATCAGTCCTTTTACTCTTTCGGTACGTTCTAGAGATCTCTACAAGCACAATGTTGACCACCCTAATACGACTGTCATTTACTTGTCTTGCAGACATTTTGCCACTAGTAGAGTTTGAAGTTGACCCTGAGCTGACACATGAAGAGATACAATTACTTTTGGGGAAAAGTAGTACTGCCCGAACTACTTCTTCAGAGCGCCGCAGTTCAGTAAATTGGTCTGAGAAACGAGAAGATTTCTATTCACATGATTCGTTGGTGACTGAAAATGACAACGAGCGATTTAATATTTTAGCCGCCAATGAACATGTTAACCCAAACACAAACTTAATAATCTTGGGCAAGTCAGAGTTAGCAAAGTTGGACCCCGCTCATTTGGTGACAATTACTGATCAATATCGAAAAGATCAATCTGAACCACAGTTTAAATACTTTCTCAACATGATGCCGGAAATTTCCATCATTGCTTGTTCGCATTGCAGCAAGGTAAACTAAACTTTTTTTCAAAGCAAAGTTCAACTGAACAAATTTCTTTTCAGTTTTTCTACAGTGATGAATACGAGTTTCAGATTCTTAAAAATGGAAANTCAAAGCAAAGTTCAACTGAACAAATTTCTTTTCACAGTTTTTCTACAGTGATGAATACGAGTTTCAGATTCTTAAAAATGGAAAATGTCCTTTTTGTCGAAATTAATGAATGAAATTTAATTTATTGTTTATTTGTATTGTTTATTAAAAATACATTGTAAAACAAGTTTTTGTCATTGCTTCGAAGCGGTAGTCTTTAACACAATAATTGACACTATCACAATTTTTGTGAATTTTTTTCTCGAGTGACAATCTCTACACAAAAATGTGCCAGTGCCAAAATTTCGTGTAAAGAGATGTGAAGCAAATGACTACTAAAAAGAAAGTGGTTGTCTAATGAATCCTATTTACTTTGGCACTCAAGAATCCACCAAGAAAAAAAGATGATCGATCGGTGAATTCTTTCAGTGCCAAGGGAAATGGAATTCTCTCTGTGTCGTTGGCTGCAGCAGCTGATTGAGCGATGTGATGATGATGAGGAAGCTCAGAGACTGAGCAGTAAGAGCTGAGCAGACAGGTTGCTGGTGGCGATGACCGTTCTTCAAAGCACCAGAGAAAGCACGGCAGTCTTTGAACGTCGAAGCCGTGAATTCTTCCAGTGCCATTAAGAGCAGTCATCTTTCACAGAAGGGGACCTAGAGAAAGGGAGAGAGAGAAAGAGGGAGAAAGAGAATGAATGAACAGGTGAATGGGTGCTTCGTCTTCAAAGTGTCGACTAATCTGCGCAGAGTGACTGAGAGGGTGGCGTGCACTGCGACACGACCTCGGAGGTGCCGTCAATTAGAGATGTGTTGGGGTTATTTGCGTGAGACGATGGGAGATGCGACGATCTGACAAGACGATGACGAGTTGTTGTCGCTGCACACTGTCGCCGTCGTTGATGATGATGATGGTAGTGGTGATGGTGGTGATGGCGGTGATGGTAGTTCTGCTCTACTCGGCTTGAGCGATCGCAATTAAATTCCAGTCGGCAATTGGCTTGCATTTATGGTAATCACCGAATTATGACGTTCAGTCTGCAGTTGAATGCAGTCGGCTGCAAGTGAGAACTGCCTGGTGACGACTACTGAGGCAGAAAGACCATGCCTTCGGTGACAGAGACACACTGTGCAGACAGTCTTACCTGAATAGCCTACTGTTTCAGGCGACAAAGGATACGCAGCCTGAGGGAAAGAGTGCTACTGTTTCTGCTGTTTGCTGAGTGACACTAACAAGAGGCTAACAAAGCTTCTGAGTGCTACCTGAGAACACTGGAACACTGTGCCACACACTGTGACGGCGGTGGTGAAAGGTCGCAATGAGTAGAATTGAATAGATGCATTTAATTGAGCAGAATAAATCGAAGCAAAGTGCAACAAATTGGACCTAGTGTGCAGTGGCGGCGGAGATGAGTCGGGTGAGGCTGAAAGTGGTGGTGGCAAAGAAGAAGAAGAAGAGTTGCATCGACTGGAGCGAGACGACTTGTCGCACTGGGCGCACATCCATTTAGCAGTGGCAGACAGAGAAAGAGAGGCTGCACCACAAGACAAGGCGCGGATGACATAATCGAGCTGGTCATTGTAATTACAACTTGCGGCAACAAAGGAAGGAGCCATTCATTACCACTCGAATGACGATTGAAACTGTTTGTCGCATGCCAACGCCAACAACGGCCAGTTCCTTTCGAGGACTTCTCTCGAGGCGGCGTTGACACTGGCCTCCACTGGCGTACTACGGCTGCTGTAGGTTGATTACAATTAAATTCGCAGCAGAGAAGTGTAGCTCAATCGAGGGAGAATGCGTCCAGTGATAGCTGACAATGGGATGTCAGATGAGATCATTTGCCGACTCAAAGTTTGCTGTGTTTGAGCAGCTGAGCTGTGAGTTGTGATGTGCACCTTGCTCTGCGCTGAAGTGCAACCAATGGGGTTCAGAGGAAAACGGATGCACAGTAATGCAAATGTGCTTGTTTGGTAGAGAGGACGTAGACTACCATTTGAATCACATGGTCGGTGGCAGAAGGTAATACTGCAATCAAATTGACGACGCCATTTTAATAATTAGATTGGCACTCGGAGCGTTTGAGTTTGCAGCACACAAACACACACACACACAAAAAGACAGATACAGCTGAGCCAAACAGAGCCAAGCGATTGGTCATAGGTGGGCAATGGCATTGGCAACTGTGAAGACTGAAAGGAAAATTGGAAATTATTCGAGCTTTATGCGTGTCGAGGAGCAGCGACTGCACTGGCTGCGCGAGAAGATCTCGAATGGTAAGTGGCCGACGGAGTGAAGAACATTGTAGTAGTCGTCGTCGTCGTCGTCGTCGTCGTCGTCGTCGGGTAATCATCAAGTTCATGAGGCTCGCAGGCACGACGAATCACGGCGGAGGCAGTGGCGCCGTCGAGGTAGTAGGAAATGAGGAGTGAATCGCTTTAAAGTGGAGTAAATAAATAAATCGACTCGCGCAGTTGCACGTCCACCGGAGGAGAAGGCATTGTGTGGCAGCGATAATGGCGCATTGGCGCTCACTGGAGCAGTCGGTGGACTGCTTCCTTAGCTGAAGAGTCAGTTGCAGCGTCAGTTCTCGGTGGAGAGATTGCTTGCACCAGCAGGTTGGACGCTGTGGTGGGAGCGAAAGGAAAAGACGGTGGAAGACGGTGGAAGACGAGCCAAGATGATGGCATCGTAATGAGAGTATAACAAGTGCAAAGGTCAGTGGCCACTGTGCAGGGCACTTGGCCTGTTGCCAATGTGCTGGCCATTGTGCGCCTGCCACCGAACGCTTTCAATTGTCTCCTCTCCCTCTCTTTCTCTCTCCCTCTCCATCCGACTCTGGCAGCGGTGGCCAACCAAGGTGACACACGTTTACGCAAGAATGCACTTTGCCAAGAGAACTTACTCAACTGAGCTGCACTGACTTCACTCACTCCGGACGAGTGAACATCAAATGCACCGACATCTGGCAGGTACAAGGTGTTCAAGGTGGATTCTAGACTTGCTGTATTATAGACTGGCGGGAGAACCAGTCACGGCGAAGTGACACAACTGCAACAGCCTCGGTGACAAGGACCGAGTCAGCAGACGAAGGCGGACAGGAAAGAAGGTGCTGACTGTTGACTGCTCACCACTGCAAGGTCGATCGACCGTCACTGCTCCATCCGAAGTGGAGTGCAATTCAGGCGCGTTGAGTAGCCGGCGCGGCGAACTGTCGCCGAATGAACCGTCGGCTTGCAACTGCAGCTGCCAGCGACAGTGAGCAGTCGCCAGTTTGAGGGTGCTTTACCTGCTCTGGTAGCCAAGCAACCGACCGTTTAATTGTTTCACATACCAGGCGCTTGTTGGGCACAACAGGGGCCAGAGGAAGCGGCTGTGTGCCTCTGTGCCTGTGCCTGTGTGTGTGATTGATGAAGAGCGCTTACTGAGACAGTGTCACCATAGTCTGAGAAAAAGACTGCAGTGGAACATCAAGGCCCAATGGTGTCTACTGAAACAGTGGTCCACCATCAAACCTTCTGTCATTGACTGCTTTCTGGGGCAATACTCAAGCGG